CGCGAGAAAATTCGCCGGGGGTGCGGTTCGCGCTGCCATCGGGACCACTGGTGTTGTTTCTCCGAAAATTTCCGCCACCGCTGAAACGCAGACCGTGTGGATCAGCAGACACAGCAGACTGCCGCGATGCGTTGCCGAGGTCGCGCTCACGATGTGCGCAGTACACAGTGTCCTCCAGCCTTACACGAGTCATCCCATCGGCCATAAGAATAGACATATTCTCCGTGTCGTAGTCCGAAGAGAGGTTGCGGCGGAGTAGCGCGACAATTTCCGCTTTCGACAGGTTGGCTCCAGAAGCGACAAGATCGGCGAGGATTTTGTTGAAACCCACAAAGTACGCGAGCGGGTCGTGGCCAACACGCATTTTGAAGTCGGTCAGCGTTTTTCTGAGAGCCTCCCTCCCAGCTTCGTCAGACAGCAGGCAGCAGCGAATCGCCTCTTCCCAGGCGCCTTCAACCGACCCACTGGTCAGTAGCTTGCTCATGAACGGAGCATCTTTCATGGACTCCGTCAGGATGTTGAGAGCGCGCTCATTTTGATCCACCAGGTCACCACCATGCATAGTAACCAGCTCCCTCCTGGATGGACCGTGTAGCAGCTTCACAGGATACGAGGACTCATGTAGGGTGTGTGCTAGACCCTCGCTCGACATTAAATTTTCGAACAATTGCCGGTGACGGCGAACTTCCCGTCGTAGATTTCTTTTTTTTCCATTGGGCAGTCCTTTCATCAAGCCCACCGCCGGGCCCACTCCCGGCATATCCACCTCTTCCAGCTGCCAGCCCAGCTTGACCCCCTGCTGCCCTCCCAGCACGCTCTAACGCAGCGATCTTGTCCATGGCTAGTTCGACTGTTTTCCTCAATTCTTCCTCCCTTTCCTTTGCTGCCGCCCTCTCTGCAGCAGCTCGAGAATCCGGCATCGGTCGGACTTTGTATGATTGATCGTGTGAGCATGTCCCCGTGACCACCCACGGCGGTTGCCGTGCCCACCCACGGAGGATACCGTGCCCACCCACGGTAGTATAGTGATGTCTGGGGACTATGTTAACCCAGGGACCGATGCAGATGACATATACATACCTTAATTAACATACGCACGTACTCTCACAGCACGGACCGAAGTCAGTACAGGTCCTGTTTCGGTGAACACATGCGCTGGCTCTCACGAGGGGCTCCGCACTTGGACTCCCGACAGCATACCCCACACACACACATACTCTGCAGATCGGATCTTGTATCCAAGTGCCCCAAACAGCCCCCGTGATTGATACAACATACGATCTTGAAATCCTGTGTGAATAACCATCCAACCCATACAACGCAAGAAACCACTCGAGAAACATCCTCTACAAAAACTGGCTACGCATTTAAGACGAAGCGTCTCCATGAGTTTATCCATGAACCCTATGTATTCTCAGACCGTCAAAACAAAAGAATCATCCTCAGAAGAGCACCCAACAAGTATCTGCGCTACATCAGATGGGCGTCGGAACGGTGACGGACCAATCTGTAAAAACAGCTTCAAACGAGTTGACACAACATCCTCAAACACAAAGTTTCAACTTCTTGACCAATCGAAACGAGCATTCGGAAAGCACAAGGGCCCCAACCATTATTCGTCAAAACATGTCAAACCCTTCTTCCAACATGTCATACTCTTCTGCGTCCTAGACAACAAACGAAACACACGCCCTGGCACACATCACAACTGCGCCCGAGACCGACCGCCGGCCAGTGGCCCTCCTGGCGTAGTCGGAGTCAACATACAAGCGCAAATCGATACCCCCCCTGGAACCCCTCTGAAATGTATTACCAATGTGGTAGTACTCGTGAATCTAATGTACATCGCAATTTGCAACGCAGCCCGCCAGTGTAAGCTCTTGGGCGCATCGGAATACCTCGCAACGGCCCGCACGGCAGCAAGGATATCCGGTCGAGTCTGGTTAGCGAGCTACTGAGATGACCTACCAAAGAACGAAAAGGCTCAAGAACATCGGGTTCGTCGGCAGAAAAATCATCAAGCCTCACTCCAACAAGCATGGGGGTCTCTTTGTTGCGTATGACACAAAACTTCGCAACCGAGTTGACGGTAAAAGTCTCTTGCGACAATGTAAGCGCACCAGCATTTCAATCGCGTGAAGAACGAACTCCCGCATACAAGCGCAACGCTCCGAGGTTTGTGATGCGAACGTAGGCGTTCAAGTCTCTGCCAAGCTTGTCACACCGACTCTTCCGCCCGATGGAAAATATGTCATCCACATGTACCACAACCACCATGGAAAGCACATCATTCTCGATCAAACGCTTGACACACGCATCAGCAGCACAGCAGCCGAGATGACTAATACAGTCAGTCTGGGTTAGGAGGGTGCCGCCAGCAGCAGCAGAAGCACCAACAGCAGCAACCGTCTTACCCATCTTACCAGCACACGCTGTTAAGATCGGGGGCAAGGCGTTGTCTTTGCTGTGTTTTGCGTCAAGAATCAGGGGGGGAGGAAATGTGTCATCATGATTCCAGACGCAGCACTAGAGCGTGCGTGTATATTTTCTTGTGTATGCAGGGCATGTTTCAGCTGGGGAGCTGTTTCGTATACTTCGATGTTTTGAGATGTCCTATTGATTGAAAAACAGAGAAAGAAGTCGCAGGCAGATCTCTATGTATACATGTTTCGGGAGATGTTGCAGCAGGGGGGCTGTTTGCATGGATAATTGCCTACGTTTTCTATCGTCTCGTGGACAACAGCGACGGCACCGATAGCACGTGCGCGCTGTGTAAGATGTGCTATGTTGGAAGAGGTTTTGACATGTTTTGACGAATAATGGTTGGGGCCCTTGAGCTTTCCGAATGCTCGTTTTGATTGGTCAAGAAGTTGAAACTTTGTGTTTGAGGATGTTGTGTCAACTCGTTTGAAGCTGTTTTTACAGATTGGTCCGTCACCGTTCCGACGCCCATCTGATGTAGCGCAGATACTTGTTGGGTGTATTCTTCTGAGGATGATTCTTTTGTTTTGACGGTCTGAGAATACATAGGGTTCATGGATAAACTGATGGAGACGCTTCGTGTTGAATGCGTAGCCAGTTTTTGTAGAGGATGTTTCTCGAGTGGTTTCTTGCGTTGTATGGGTTGGATGGTTATTCACACAGGATTTCAAGATCGTATGTTGTATCAAGCACGGGGGCTGTTTGGGGCACTATCCGATCTGCAGAGCATGTGTGTGTCGGGTATGCTGTTAGGAGTCCAAGTGCGGGGCCCCTCGTGAGAGCCAGCGCATGTGTTCACCGAAACAGGACCTGTACTGACTTCGGACCGTGCTGTGAGAGTACGTGCTTGTGCTAATCAAGGTTATATATCATCTGCATCGGTCCCTGGGTTAAGGTATTCCCCAGACATCACCATACTACCGTGGGTGGTCACGGTATCCACCGTGGGTGGTCACGGGGGCATACTAACAGGCTTCATGAAGCCGTTTGCTGCGACAAGGTGCCTGCACAGAACATGATTTTGGCGACAACCGTAACACTTTGCACAAGCCATCCTTGGCAAGTGCTCGACCTACCTACAATATTCCCACCTATCTGATAGAATCCTTGTTTCTCCACGCCCCTTACATACCGTTACCTATCGTTGAAGGCGTTCGAATGGCTGGGGCACTGGTATCAAGGTGTCGGTGGGGATCGAGAGCGCGCACGCGGCTGCTTCCTGCGTTCGGTGAAGCTCGACCCTTCCTTGACGGGGGCGGGGGAAGCTTTGGCTTCGCTGTACCTGCACACTGGACAGGTTTGTCGGGACCTAGCTAATTGCTGTTGGTGGTGGTTGGTCGGTAAACTTGTTTCGGAAGGAGGTTTTGTTTTTCTATCTGTGATTCAGCGGGGAGCGCTTCAGGTACGACCACTGGGTGTTCGCATCCCGGTCCGATGTGTACTCCAAACTCCTGCTTTGCCACACCTGGGACCCCGGCATCATGCGGGGTGGGAGAGGGGGGGGCGTCCTACTCTTGGACTGCTGTTGTGATGGGCGTGCCAAGTCGAAGATTGTGCCAAGCGTGTTCACTCATCCTGCTATTCATAGAATAGCACAGCAGGCGGTGCCAACCCTACTGGGCAGAGGTAGTGTTGAGCGTTGGGCTGTACGTTCGTACCCCAGTACACCCCTGCCAACACTCGCGTAGTTTGTTACGCCTCCGGTAGTCACATGCCAAATATCCCGTGAGACATCTTCGTGGACATCGACCACTTGGCTATAATGCTCCACCCGCCTCCCCCCCCAACCAAAAACATTCATCTCCGAATGTTGACAGGAGACGTTAGCTGTGGCTCTGTTCCGGCAGTGCGCGGCTGTGTCCGTGGCGTGCCACTGGGCATGGGCGGGGCTGGGTCGTACAAAGATCCTCGAGGGGAAGCTAGCCGAGGCTGCTTCGCACGTACAACAGGTGAGTTTCGCGCGGCCGTCGAACTTGTTTCACATACGTTGGGCGGTCGTTGTCGCCGTCGCCCTGCTCGCCGTTGCCGCTGCTGGTGTTGCACATGCTGATGCCTCTTCTTCTTGAGTTGTTGTTGTGGTGCTACTGTTGCTTCGTTGTTGTTGTTGTTGTTGTTGCTGCTGCTTCCGTTGCGTCTGTACAACGAGGTTTGGTGTTTTCCGTTCCACCTCCTTCATTCTTTTTCTTCAGCAATGAACCAAAACAAAAATCTCGTGTTCTTCCACAAACATATCCGTTTTGCCTTGGTTTCCAAAGGCCATTCGAGGCTGTCCAACTTCTTGGTCGTACTGGTCAGACCTGGGGTGGTGCTACCACGCGGAGGGGAAACAGGCGGCCGCTCTCAAGGCCTACACCAGAGCGGAAGACCTCCTCGCCGACCAGCAAGACCCTCCGAGTTCGGTTGAGGCGGCCGCGAGGGTCAGGGTTAGAACACAGGTGTATGAAATTCTGTTTGTGATCTCGCAACAACCGTGCACCAGCTGGGTCGTGTGGGTAATATCCTGCTGTTATCTCGCAGCCGTGCACCAGCTGTGCCTTGTCGAACTGCTGTGTTTTTGTTGTTTTTGTTGGCAAAGTCGGAATGAATACATTGTCAAAGGCTTCTTCACGTTCCCCTGGCATATGAAGTAAACGTGTTGTTGTTATGGCATGTTCGGTTGGACGGCTTATTGGAAGCAGTCGACAGCTGTGTAGAACTGACTTACCCTTTGACAAGTTCGTGCCTTCCACCAGCACTACCATACCGATAATCTACACACCATACCAGCATTCCATCAACCGAACACCGTCCCGCCAACGGAAACTCATACCACAGGTTGGCACGATCCAGCGCCAAATAGGCCAGGTGGACGAGGCCGTCTCGAGCTTCAACGACGCCCTCACCCGCGACCCTGAGTCCATCCTTGCCCTTGAAGGCTCCGGGGAAGCCTACCTCGCGCAGGCCCACGCGCGGACAAGCGAGGGTCTCTACAACGCCGCGGCGAAGGCTCTTCGAAACGGCCGCGACGCGACAAAGAGATTCCTGGACCTGTCCAAGGGTAAGAATGTAGTATAAATAGGATTTATAGTGGGAATAGTAAAAACCTTACTTGCATTTTACATGTACTATTGGGATATTGTATGTAGGCGTATTCTTAACCCTTTTTTACCTCTGAACTGTATGGGGGTATGTTGGTAAGAGCTCTTAGGGCTGAAAAGGATGTCCGAGTGATACCCGTGGCGTGCCGTCCAGAAACCTTAACCTTAGGTTGCACGCGACCCCTCGCCCCTATTTTCAAAGCTTGATTGCTCTGCAGCACAAAATGACGGCGCCGGAACCGCCTTGTTTAGAGCGTCCCGTACACGGAATGTTAATGTTTGGTCTGGGCTTCGTCTCCGTCGTGGAGTACTGGAACCTTGGAGAATGGTCGAAGGGCGTGGGGGTATCCTACGCAGCGTACGGTAGCCACTGTTGCGATGGCCACAGTCCCTCCCTGTCATCGCTCGCAAGCTTATGTGGCGGAGCAGCTCTCCAGAAAAGGGTTATCGTGAGGAGAATCAAAGTCAGACGGCCATCACCATCACCACCAGAATCTGTTTCTCGTTTTCAGCCCAGTACACACACGCGTGACGTAGACGCCACGCATCCCAACTACTGCTACTGCTACTACTACGGCAGCGACGACGGGAAAAGGCAGCAGCGGCGAAGGCGCCGCCGCCGTTAGCATGGAGTGCGCGTGGAAGCTGCTTGGGGACCTCCACACCTATGCGCACAAGCTTCCGCCGATGTGTTTCGAGGACGAAGGGTCGCGAGAGCAGCGGGGGGGCTCCGCGGAAGGGGGAAGCGTTTTGGGCCTGGGGACGTCGCAGGCGGCGGTCGAGCATGCGGTGAGTGTGATCGAGGAATGAACGAGGAACGCCAACCTTGTGTGTTACCGCTGATAGCCCGGTAGAGCCGAATGCCCTTAGATCCAAACGACAGTTCCTATATGATAAGTACGACCACCGCTTTGGTGGGGTGGTGTCACACCACGCGTTCAGCATGACCATGTTTGCTCTCTGTTATATTGTTGTTTGCTCAAGCCAGTGTCGTAGATGTCTCGTACAACATTGTGAATAGTGAACGGGGGCGGTCTGTACTGCATTGCACTTGCACTTTGCTATTGAACCGAGGACGATTTACCGCCTTGCTGGTGTATCTTAAGACGTACGCGATTTGATACGATTGAGTCTATGGTGCTTACTGCACATGCCATAACGATGCATGTGATGAATGTGATACGTCACTCGAATGGGGTGTATGATACGTGGGACCTACCGACAGACAGGTAACCTCGCACCATCAATCAACCGCGAGCCACAACGGCGTCATACCTCTTGCTGCAGCTTGAATGGCCTACCCGCTTTACGAAGCGGTCAGACCTTTCTCGCGGGCGGGCGTGTTTTGTTTTGTTCCTCCAGCGTGAAGCAAGGGCAACCACGGAGTACAGACGTGCGTTTTCGAAACTGTCGTATGCTGTATACTGTATACAGATACCTGTAACGGTAACCAAGCAAGGTGTTATTCATTCTTCTTGTACTCGCTACTGCGGTACTGCGGTGCTAGAAAAAAAAGAATGTTACTGCTGCTTCAAAGAACATGAAAGACTCTCCAAGTCGAACAGCCGTCGGGAAACAGAAGGGAAAAGAACACCCGAACAGCCTCCACCGCTAACGACCAGCCAACACAAAATTGTATAACTGTTCTTACTACACACCCCATAATACGATGCATGTGATGAATGTGATACCAATCGAATGGTGCGTGTGATACGTTGTAGGCAGAGAAAAACATGGCCCACGTTCCATGCGCGAAGTTGCGTTCGCACGTTGTGTGCAACCTGTTGAGTCTTTGTGATCCGAACACGATAAAAACAATGGCAGGCCTTGGCCAAAGAAGGCGCTCGCAACAGGCTGGACTTCGTGGCACAAGGGGCGGATGCCTACCGAAACCTTGTGCAACTCCTAGAGGCGAGGGAGAAGGACCAGGTCGACGGCGGCGTTGATGGGTGAGAGGTTGGACACATGACCCTTGACAGTACTGGTTCGCATCTTGCTGTTATTTGTTGGTAAACATTTCGCAAGTCGTGCTTTGTTTAATGCGTAATGAATACTCATTGAACTGCTAGCAGGGCTTCTACTGCAATACTTTTGGTGTCTTGCTGATGATGAAGGCGTTGGTTTGTTTGTTTGTTCGAAGATGAGGTTGGTGTCTGCGGTGTCGCCGAGGCCCACTTATGTTGTCCATTTAGAGTACAGTACATGTCAGTATTGCTGTTGTCTTTCGATCGAATACCCGTGGTGTTGGTTGATCCTGGGTGGCTGTAAGCTGGCGTTAACCCAGCATTTTTACTATTTTTTCATCCAACACTCTATGTACGACCAGGCAAAGCGGTGACACCAGCGCGGCTGAAGGCCAAGGGGCGCTGGTGGTCACGAAGGCTGCCGCATTGTACGACCTTGGGCTAAACTACCTGCTGAGGGGCAGGCTCGTCTGCTCCGATGCTGGGGAGGGGTCGGGTCTAATAGCACAGGAGTTCTACGACGGTCTCACTGAGGTGGCCGAGCTCACGAGGTGAAGGGAAGATGAGATCGATAGGCCGTGTCCCTTGCGGCATGGAAGTGAAGCAGCCAACTTGCTGAATGGCGGACACGATCATATCCGCAGGCAACACTCCCTAATTCTGTTGCCGTGCTGTTTTTCATGCGTACCCGTTACAAGAAGTGCAGGCGTGGGTGGAAGACTCGTTCAAAGTGGTATCTACGTGGAGAGTAAACCCAGTGTCCTTCCCGATCCGATAGTCGCTCACTCGTCGTTGCTTGTGCACACGGACAGGAGGGCCGACCTCAACCTTCATCTTCCAAGGCGAGGAGGCGTCGGCAAATGGTGCTCCCAGATTCTTGTTGACGAAGAGACGTTGTGCTTTGAGACCCCTGTTTGTTTTGAGTGATGATTCTCACAACCTCGCTTTCTTTGCACGATCACCATGTTCGACTCAGGTCGGCAGAGGAAGCCTTCAGGAGGTCAGTCGAGGCCGATCCCGCCTACTCGGAAGCGTGGAACGGTCTGGGCGCCACCATGTCCGGGAGGCCCCTTGTCCAGCAGCACTGCTGGGTGCGGTCGGTGCAGCTGGAGCACAACCCCAGCGCGTGGGCTAACCTGGGCATGCTCTACGTACGGTGGGGCATGGACATCCAGGCGAGGACTCACAAATCGTTCAGGGAAACTAGTGGCTCCTGCATGTGTTCTACCCCCCCCGGGGCTTACAGCGTCTTTCTTGACGATCTTGGCTTCGACGTTGCTGCTGGTGTTTGTAGCGTGGCATCTTGACTGTTCTTGACTGTTCAACGGTGAGCTGGTGGTGACGGGAAAATTCACTACTTTGTTTCCTTGAAGAACACAGAGAGAGAAGGTTGCGGATAGATATAGGAACGATTTACCAAAAATCACGGCAGCAGCGGCAACAGCAACGACGGCAACGAATCGTCGGACTGATGGCCATTCTGTGTCGCGCTACCCTCACGGCCGAGCTACGTTTCTGAAGACAAAGAAAAATTCCCTAGCCCCGTTTGTATTTGCGAGCATGATCAATCGCATCCTCTCCGCCCGCGCTGATTTTCCGATTTAATAGCCCACACGAGATGTTGTAGGATTGCAGTCTACACCGTACGGTTTCTTGTCGCGCTTTCTCTGCTTGCTTGGACCATAGTGATGCCTCTGGCTTTTTGCCCGTCGCCGTCGTGAACATGCACCAATCAGCAATCAACGGGTTCGATTGGGACCTTGTGTTTGGTGTACACGCCGGTCGGTGTGATACACGGAGTCTCCCTGGAGGTTGGTACGTGTGTGATTTTTCGGGAGTAGCGGAGTCCCCTGTGAATTGGGCAGTCAACACGACTGATGCCCTGGTAAACGGAATCACGTCATGTACATCTCTACACGGATCGGCTGCTAGGGTGCTAGGGTTACGTCTGGTCATCCACCGAACACAATGAACACCATGACATTCCAGGCGTACGAGTCGTTCGGGGGGCTGCAGGCGGTGACGGACCACCCTACCATGTGGGTTGGCCTTGGTTTGCTCAAGGAGAAGGAGGCATGTCAGCCTGGCGTTGCCGGCTCTAAGCGGCGGAGGCTTCTTTCGCAGGTGTGAGCTACCGCTAGGGTTGATGTGTGTGCTCTTGTTGTTGTTGTTGTTGTTGTTGTTGCTGTTGTGATTCTGCAACAAGGAGAAGACTGTTATTTCAGGTTTGATATATTAAGGGTGATGAGGGCGATTGCAGTGGAGGGTGCGTGTTTACGGTGCAGGATGCTCATGTTGCAGAGACTTGTCATGTGCTGACTTTAACGCTGGATGTTCATTTGGCGTTGCACGGATCCCGTTTCCCTGTGTCAGCCACAACAACCAGACTTTTTTTTTTTTATCATTTCGGACGTACAGGCGCCCAAGACAAATCAAGTCCCAACTGTTTTGTTTTTCGTTGGTGTTCCTACGTCCCATGGTCACGACGTACACTGTACGTCGTACAATTCTCTAAGGATATCCCTTGCGCTTACCTTGCCCCCCAGAACAAGCACCATCACGATCTACATTTGACCCGCATACTTGCCTTGTAACGCTATGCCTCAATTATTTATTTAGGCGAGCGATGCGTACTACTCTTCCCTGGAGACAGGGCAGCACGTGGATGGGCTACTGGGGCTCGGTACGACGGCGGGACAGACTCACAGTCAGGATGACGCCCTCGTCGCGCTGCAGCAGCACCTCGACCTCAACCCAAGCAGTGCTCAGGTCAATGCTGCGGTTGTTGTTGTTGTTGTTGATGTTGTTGTTGTTGTTGCGCATCTAAGCTGTGCCCACCTGGTCACCCATGACATCAGTGTTCAAACACGTTACCCCCCCCGCCCCCATTTCGGCACTATTATGTTTAGGCTTGGAACTACCTCGGGGCTGCCTCAGAGCTCGCAGGCAGAGGTACCCAAGCCGTCGCCGCCTACCGCCGCGCGCTGGGGTTACTCGAGGAGCAAAGGGAGAGGTTCAAAGCCACGGCCGGAGCTGAAGGACGCAAGGTGTGGGGGGAGGCGGTGGCACTTGCGAAGGGGAACGTGGGGAGAGCGCTTGTGCTGGTGGGGGGAGTGGAGGAGGCTGTGGCTTGTCTTGGGGAGGCTGATCCTGCGCAGGTATGTATCAGACTGTAGTTATTCGTTGTCGTTTCTGCCGTTATCACTGTTGTTGTGATTGTCGTTTATCGTTGCTGACGGCGGTGGCATTGTGTATAGTATGTTACCTTGTTGGCCGGTGTTTGGGAAATGACCTCTATTTGCCCGTCTTGTTGCGCCCTCTCGCTATCGATATTTAGTTGGGTTTCGTTTTTCTTGTTCTTTAGTTTTTATTTGTTGCTTCTGCGGCACAGTTTGACAGCCAGTCAGCCAGTAGCCAAAGGGGACCGAAACGTGTTACAAATATGTTTTTCGTCGATGATGTGTCGATGATGCATGTAACGCTAGGTAGATGATAAAAGTGACCCGTCTAAGAGTTAACATCGTTTTCAGAAGATGCTGACATCGGTGGTGTTGGTTTGTGTCTGGTCGAACACTGCCCCGCAGGCGGATAACGCGCTTCAGCTCGGGCGTGCCTACGCACTGCTGGGTAACTGGGACGCCGCCCTTGCTGCCCTCGAGGAGGAGGTAAGGGTAATCGAGTCGTCAAGCTTCTGAGTCGGTTCGATAGCGGTTGGGGATGCAACATGAGCGTTGGATGGCGAGCATTGCCGGGGCAGTCATGGAGCTAACATTTGCGGCCTCTTTCGGCAGAAATATCTGCGCGTGGACAGAAGCGGTGTACACCAGCATGTCCAAAGATCACAACCTACAGCAGTGACAGCGGGTCGATTTGCCCTCGTGGGCACGGTGCTGACGACTCTGGCCTTTATACTCGGGGGGATATAGGAGGTAATAGGGCAAGGTAGAAGGTAGACATACGGTTGGAGTTGGAGATAACTCTTGTCGCTGATCCCACTACCCCACTTTTACACTACTACACTTTGCTCCGTGTTCTTGGTTCGGATCCCGAAGAGCCCTCTGGGAGTGGATGGTCTAATCTCCGGTGCAGCCGTGAGGTATCTCCGAGGAGACGCTAGCGGTGCAGCGGCAGCGGCAGGCACCTTCATGGCACAACGTCCGGGGGACCGGCGGGTGCTCCACACTGTGGTCTCTTTGGCAGCTCTCGCCGGTGATTCGGGTCTGGTGCAACAGGCCTCTCGTGCTCTGCAGGCGAGGGAGGCATTGGGGTGATCGAATGTTTACGGCATGCATGCTTTTGTTTGTGAAGACGTAAAGACAGCAACAAAACCACGTGCGACTTGGTACTTCGGACGACACAGGAACAGACAGTGCAATCGAGATCTACGGGACCAGACAGTCTCATCTCTCGAAGTCTCTTTCGTTAGCCGTGTCTCTTGACAGCGCCGTGTTGGGTCAGGGTCAGGGTAAGGGTTTTGGCTTCCGAATTGTTTATCTTACAGCAGCTTCAAGCGACTGGAGAATGCCAAAGCAGCACTTGCCCGTGTCTTGCCACCCGCGTGTTCAGTGTGGCGTTATCAGGTACAGTCGCCTCCTCACTTTTTTTCCGTGTGCGTCTTTTCCTTCCGACTACGTATGCATTTGGGAAATCCCTATCCCAACCCCATGTCGCTGGTCCCTTCATGTTGGTGGATTTTTCCATCGCCAGACCCTGTTTCGAGTGACCCACTCCGTTTACCACTTGTGTTTCATAACCCTATCGTCCACGATAAGCCTGGGCCATCGGACCACCCCCAAGCCCCACCACCACGAGGCAGGCCCTTCTCCAACCATGTGCTGTCGCCGTGCTCCATACGGCGATGCTTCGTTGTTGTTGCAGACCTTGCCTAAGAGGGCCACCTCCAGCGATCCCGGCGGGAGCTTAGCTCGCCAACACGCTGCGGAGGAAGACCTGTGGGCGATCCACCTCGCCATGAGGGCCACGGGGGTTCCGGATTCCGAGAGCAGGTGAAACAATATTTCATTCAGCTTCAAGCTTTTGTCAAAACGAAAAATATGTGTGCATCGAAAAATTGAAATCGTATCGACAAGGCTACACACGCGAATAAATAGAGGCGAACGCTCTTTGAGGCATATAGGTTCGGAACATGATGATGATGATGATGATGATGATGATGATGACGATAATGAGTTAAGAGGCGCACAACGAACAGCTCGCCAGATAAGACCACGACAAATGGCAGGCAGCCAGGACCATCATCGTGGAGACCCTGCCAGTGACAGTTGACAATGATCAGTAAAATTTATCCGGCGGAGATGTTCATGGTTAGTCATGGCCGTACTCCCAAACTACTTACCAGTCTCAAGCCGATTTTGTTTTTTTCTGTCGCTGCTGGTCAAGCATCGCCGAGGGAAAGACGGAGAATGAAAACGAAAACCATCGCCGGTGTTAACCTTATTCCAGTATGGCCACAGGTGTTGCCTCTAGACACATTCCGAGAGGTGTGTACAGACCGGCGCCCAGAATAACTGGAACGGAAACACACACACATTCACACTGGTCGGATGATTGGGGGTGTTCTGGGAAGATGGCTCTCCCTACCGACATGGTTTGATTCATTTTGTCTCCCGAGTTCATCACGGCACATTTCTGCTGCGTCCATCCCCAAGAATTTTTCGTCTTTGTTCTCCGTCCTGCGCACCCTTGCAATGGTTGACCGGTAGAAAGTTCGCCGCGCGTTTTTTCGTCGTTGTGCCGCGTGTTTTGCACTAATTTTTGATGGCCGTGTGTTGACCACCTGCTTTCGTCCCGCGCAGGCGAGCGCTGTTGAAAGCGGTTCACCTTTCTCCATCGTCGATCACATCGTGGGCAAGACTCGGCGCTGCCACCGCAGACTCTGCCGCCGCCACAGACGGCCGGGGTCGGGTTTCCGCTAAGGTCGGCGAGGCGTGTCTCTCGGCGGCGGAAAAGCTGGCCATGTTTGAGTTGCTCGGGGTGGCGAGAGACGCCGGAAGTGGCGGTGGCGGTAACAACGTCGAGGAGCTGGCCGCGAGAGATCTGGCTACGGCCTTGTCTGGCATTGCCAAGACCGTCCTGTGCAGCGGTACTTGTAGCGGTGGCGACGGCAAGGGCAAGGCCGGAACTCGCAGCAGAGCCGTGCGTGCCACGTCTCGCGCGGTGCACCTCTACCCCGGGGAACCGTCGTCGTGGCGGTACCTAGCTAGGGCAATGGTGAGTTCCGTGCCTTACACGGACGGGCTGGTCTGTCTACAGCGAGCGGTTTCTGTTCCTAACCCCGCTGGCGGAAAGATTGCGGTATGGTGCGGGCGGGTTGGTAGTCGAGGCGTCTGCTGGACTGAAGGGTAGTAGACGACCCTTCAGTCTGAAAGTATGGAAAATGGGATGAAGGTTTTGTTGGGTCTCGGGAGCAGAGTGTGTAACACACTGCTCTGTTGGTTCTCCCTTTCACGTCGGCTACGCACGAAGAAGTAGTCTCGATCGATATGGCACTCCCTCCCTCTTAGGTGCCTGGAAGCTGGTCTGATGATTGGCGGTATGCGTAATACTGTTGTTCGTTGCTGGTGAGAACAATGCACAGATTCCAGATTTGGAGAGAAGCTGAATGCAGTAGGTGGCGCTCGTCCATGGGCGGGAAACACGGGATTGGCGCAAAGGAAAGCACAGGTACGCTATGCCGAACACTTGTTCAGCTCAGAACCAGAGGTACCTCGTGTACTTTCCCTCCCCCCTCTCGATTTTGCTTGGGACGGCAGGTGGGTGAAGCACTCTCTTCGGTTCACGAGAGCCCAGGCACGCGAGACGTGATGCTTCGCGACGCCCACTCCCTTTTCCGGGGTATTCCCAAGCCTAAGTCTGATTCTGGGCCGACGCGGGGCGATGGCAGCCAAGATAGCCTGCTCCGTGCAGAGGCGGACTACCTTCAACTTCTTCTAGGCCAGAATAACACTCACGACGGCAGCAGCACAGGCAAGTCATGGTGGTCTTTCTTTTGTTTTACTGATTATTTTTTTGCCAGATCGTGTTTGGCTTGTTAGGCGTTGCGTGCATGTGGCATAGGGCATGTTTCAATTGCCGAGCGCCAGAACAAGTGCTCACTGCAAGCTGGAGCTCATGGACCTTGAGTATTTACTAAGGCTGATGGGATGAACTCGCCGTTTTGATTGGCTGTCGGCCCATGGCTCACGATGAGGATATCTCATAAGTACGAACCAGTTCATGCGTAGTACGGTAGGCGGACTCTCACCTGGCCGGTCATTCCACCCCCGCTCCCCACCCTGACCTCGTTATCTTTTTTTCGTTTTTTTTTTGGTTATACATACGCGTGTGTGTTGCACGTCTTGGTTGTTTCGACCTACACCGCACCAGATTCCTTCCCAGCCGCTCTCATGGCGGCAAGGGTGGCGGCTCGCGGTGGAGTCGATGGAGACGGTGGACGGGAAGACGCGATAAAGAGGTGTGTTGTTCGTTTGTGACGACTGCTGTAGATGAAGATTAAGCGCACACGAGGCGTACGGACGTGGTATGATGTGTATGATGTGCGTGGCATGCATGATATGTATAGTTTGTATGATACGTATGATATGTATGACATGAGGGGAGCGAACACCAACGGCAGCTGTAGTAAGCTATGATAGCTTTGCGGCTGGCTGGGTCCGATGGACCCCCTCTGTGGCCTTTCAAACCCAACCCGTCGTAGGTTGTTTTGGCACTATTGCTGTGGCGAGCCTTTTTTTTGTTGGTTGGGCTCTCACGCCCGAAGTCAGTGCTTCGCAATTGAAACCAGCGCCCCTCTCGATGGAATTATCTGTTGAGGTTTTGACTCGAGTTGCCAGGGGGGTACGCGAGTTCTTGAAGGAGGGTACCCGCTTCGAGCCCCAAGTGCATCGCCAGGACAACTCCCGACCACTCACAGAGAACGTGTCGTCCGTATCTAGTAAACGTTCTTGCTACTTGTGTCTCCGATAATCGGCTGAAACGCTGACTTCTTACCCCCGGGGGGAGCAAGAGTTCTTGGTGATGGTGGGCACGGGACACATGCTGGAAAAATCACATCTCTATTGGACGTGTATGTACCTTTACGCCTGTCCATGCTTCGTAGGGCGCAACAGCGACGGTTGTTGCACAGGAGGAAGGACACCCACGAGTTCGTGTTATCTTTACTTCGTTGTCCTTCTGCGGCAATCTACTTGCCTTGCGTCTGGTTGCGAGAAGGATTGAGCGGTTCTTTGGCTTACATTGACCTTCGGTTTTTGAAGTTCCGGCACGCACGAATTTCTCGTTGTCCACGCTTACCAGGAAAAATATGTGAGAAGAAGAATCAGTTCCTGTTCGCGTGACTGCGTCGAGATTCGAAGTCACGCGCATGTCCAGACATGAGAAGGTTGTAAGGTTAAAGTTACCCACTGAACCGCCCGCGCGACAAGCTCTGCACCCAAAAGATAAGTCATTGCCATTGTCCCCCCTCGAACCACCCACTCATCAACCCTTCCGAACGCCGCATAAAGGTACAAGCTCGCGCTACGGGAGCAGCCAAGGGCGTTGGTAGGCTGGCGTGAGCTCGCAGCCTGCTACGAGCTCTCGAACCAACATCACGCCGCGGCGGCCGCCTTAGAGTGCGGCGCACAGGCAGCCGGCCCAGCCGATAGCGTTGACAGCTCTAGCAGCGGCAAGCGGCGCAGCGTTTCGGCGACGGCCGCGCCCTTGTACCTGCAGATGGCTGCAGGCACGCTGATGATGTCGCCGGGGGAAGAGGACGCGGGTCTGGCCGCCGTCGGAGACGCCTTTCGGCTCGGAAAGGGGGGAGCGGTCGGGCATGTGCTGCGCGGGTTGTTAAATTCGGGGCTAGGGAAGGATAGTCTTGCGGCTGGGTCCTTCGCGAAGGCAAGGGACGCTGGCCTGGACCCGGCTGTAGCCGCCCTCGCGGATAAGGTTTCCGTCCCACGGGCGGGACAGGGAGGGACACAGAAGGATGCTGTTGTGTAGCTTGCTCTTTCCACCCGCGAGCAAGTATTGGTGGATGCTAATTCAATACATTGGTGGATGCCAATTCAATACATTCGTACGAGCTTGTGATGCCTTTTGGTGTGACGAGTTCCGGTGTTTGAGCGAGATTGCTTCTTCTTGGCCGAAATGAAGGTGGGTGGCGTGAAAGCAGCGGTTGGTTGTCGTGTCCGCTTGCCTGCTTGCTTTTTTTATCATCCCCGCCCTTGGACCATCGTTTTGTGTCCCCTTTACAGGTAGGTATCCCTTTTGGCATTGCATCTCCTACAATAGTCAAAGAGCTTCCAGACGGGGTCACGAAAGCAACACTAGAATCAATCGCTACTTGCAGAATAAAATTCCCTCGTAAGGCGTAGATGCGGACGGTGCTTATTTTGTAGGACCTGTTTTTGGGGGTCGGGTGAGGTACTTTTTATGTCTGTCAGAAGAGAGATATGCATGCGTAGGTGGGAGTCAACCAGCTGTGCCACGAATACCGTTTTTGCTGTGATCAAGAGAAGGGTACATGAAGGCAATCTTGATGTTTTTCCGAATTTCTTGCTCGGATAGTCTGGTCTACATACAGCAGTGTCCCATAGCATGACAATTGTACCAGTAGTGTAGAAAAATAGACTGACTGACGTCCCTCCGCCGACCGACGGAGGAAGAAAAAGAGACAGACTCCGCCGGTTGTCACATCCACCAAATATCCAAATATCGCCTCTTTCGAATATACTGAGTTATTGCTCTTCCCCGGTTAGTCACTTGCATTCAGCAGAATTGCAACAGACAGCATGATGTGCGCCGACCGGCGGCTCTTGCGACGAAGCGCACAACAATGAAGATGACCTATTTTTCCATATTTTTTATTTTGTGTGAAACAATATTTGGGACGGCTACACCCACCGGAGGGGGTTATTTTTTTTTTAGTTTATCTGTCCGCCAGAAAAAGGTTCCGCGCGAAAAACCGCCCCCTTCCCACAATGTGGAGTCATGCTGTACTGCACCACGGACGACTTCCTGTGCCATGCATCACGCTTTCTAATTTATCCCGAGGGAAGGCTGGGAAACAGTAATTCGTCGCGCCACCGATGGCAGACAGACACGTGCCTGTTTTTCCCTTAGGTAAACATTCGATCATTCATTGCTGACGTAACGTCATAACAATAAGCATGGTACTGCGGGCACCTTTTCTTTCTCTCTCTTGGAGGCTTGCGTATCTACTGTATACAATTGCACTTATGTACAACGATCGATCGATGAGTCACGCCCGTGATTGCTGCTGTCCAACAACATATCACGTGCACCGAATGGTAATAAATTCGGCTACTACATAGAGAAACCTCTCCTCTTGGCGTGTGTAGCTTATTATGGGAAAGGTCAATGCGCTGAAACCAACACATCGCGGAGACCGCATATTATCATTTTTAATATTCCTTATTCATATTATTGTGTTGGAAGCCCGGTGGAAATCAAATCGTCTCTCTCTGTCAGTGTGGTACGTCCAGTGTACGTAACCGCTGCTGCTCTTGTGTCGAATAAACATGCTTTGCTACAAGTCAACCCACACGCACAAACACCTTGGATATTGACTCGCTACCGGCACATCCGTTTAACGGTCGACCATCCGCCGCCTCGGGCTGCTCCGGCTGCAACCTATCTATGAAGAGCATGTCTTTCGAAGAAAAACAAAAAAAACTTTCCACTCTGTGGTGACTGATGAAATATCCCCCCGTGGTCATGCATCCATCCAACGTCCGTAGTCTATGTATGTACAGCTGTAAGTTGCATACCGTGGTATCCAAAACTTAAAAACAACCTACGTACAACACCAGCCGGCGTTTTTTTTTTTTTTTCTCCCATCATTGGACTCTGTCGTACAGAACGCGCCACCACTAAAGAACTTAGCAGTTAAGAACCTGAGCCTCAAACAATCCAAAATCTAAGAACTTGGCCATAAGAACATATGCTCAGTTCCGACGTTGTATTAAGAACAAGAACCCGCCCGGTGTACCAATGCGCGTAGGGATAAGAACGGAGCCCCAAAACGCGGCGGCTGCAAGATAAGAACTCAGGAGGCTTGGGGTGACCCAAACAGTTAGTTTCTGATTCGAGGCGGGGGGGGGGGAGAGAGAGGACCTCGTGATGAATTCTTGTACGCGCGGAGGGGGAGAGCGTACTCTCTCTCATGTTTCGCATGCCTTAGCGGTAGGACAATTGACCAACGTCTTCGAGAGGACGCATCCATGTTCTGTTCGTGTGAGTGCGTATGTAGTCGGATCTGTAGACGAGATGACAGTTTCAGGTGCACTGCACATAGGTATGCGTTGGGTAGTACGACCAGAGAATGATTGTGCGGAGCCCCCACGCCAGCTGCTGTCAGCTGGCGTGCGCGTGGCCCTCCCTGCTCTTTCCCCCCAACCGGGTGTGAGAGATAACAAGCATCTAAACATCAAGCACTACAATCTCTACAAAGACAACAAGGGCATACCACTTAGGGTTGACGAATACTCTAGAGTTTCCTTCGAAGGAGCCCCTTTGCGGAGATTATGCCTGGCGACACTCCAGCGAGCGAAGGCGGCGGAACCACGATCGACACGCGCGTGGCGGAGCTGTCCACGAGGCTCGAGGAGCAAAGCAAGGTGCTGTCGGCTGTCATGGAGAAGCTAGGGCAACTTCAGATGTCGCCTGCCAGGGCGGCGGGGGCAGAAGAGGGGGAGTCAAGCGGCGCTGGCAACGCCGCAGGGCGCGGAGGAGCCGCGCCGGGCACACGGTTTGGGGTGCCACCCGGTGGAGTCGGGGGAGTAGGTTCCCCGGGCCACCCATCCGCTGCCCCCCCGCTGGGAAGCAATGCGCAGGGATTTTGGATGCAGGGGGTGATGGACAAGATGTCATCGCTGCTGCAGGCAATAACAGATTGCGGAAGCCGAGGGGGGCCAGGCGGTGCTGGAAGACGCGCCGCATCCTGCGGTGGGATTGTTGGAATCTCGCCGCCAGGCAGCTGCCTATCAGAGCTGCACGCTGTAGCTGGCGTTAGAACAGATGACGCCGCTGGAAGAGAGAGCAGCAGTAGATCGGGCACGGAAGGTGTACCGGTGCGGGCGTTTGACGTCCCTGCAAATGGTGGGTTTGGTGGGTTCCAGACCATCGACTTTCTCTGTACGGTTGGCAGCTCTAGCAAAGGCGCTGCTGGGGGTAGCTTGACTGCCCCGGGCACACGGGACGAGGTGTCAGGAGGTGGAGCCTGGAGGGTAATCCTTCGGGGCCACAAATATGAGCGACCTGTTGGGACCGGCCCAGTTACAAGGCAGCAACGGGGCGGCGGCGTCGGCGGTGGAGTAGCGGGCGGCACAACACACGAGCCTGTTGATCGCGGGAAAAGTACTCGCTCCGGGAGAACTGGAGGATTGCAGTCATGGCGGTTCTGGTGAACGTGGAATTGCCGCAGAGGAGCAAGGGCGAGACCGCGAAATCTGCTGTGCTTTTGAACGAGGGCCAACAACAACGCGGCGTTACCGCGGGGCGCTTCTTTCTGGTTGAGTTCGTGAGTGATATTGAATGATTTTGCTTGCGACGAATGATACCGAAAGTTTCTACAGGGGATTCGCGGTTAAGGCGTTTCCATTTTCTGATTTGGTGTTCGTAGAGTGATGGTAGCTTCGCTTACGATGATGCGACCAATGATGTTTTTCGAAAGGGGATTCGCGGTCCAGGCGTTTCCATTCTTGAGTGTGGGTGTTTTGTCGAGCAATTCTTGTTCGTCTTTTCCGATGGTAAAATCCAGGCGTGTTATCGCGGGTGTTTCGTACGACGATGGTAATTCGGCTCCAAAAACCAGCCGCTCTATGATGGGGACTCGCGGTACAGGCGCTTCCATTTCATGATGTCCGCGGGCGATGAAAACTTTGTCTGGGGCAGAATAAAAGGGGTACGCGGGACCAGGCGTATTAAACGAGGGGATGCAGCGTAGGCGCTCCCCACAACCGATGAAAATTCACGCACAGAGGTAAACCAGTATCTAGCGTGGAGGTTGAACAGAAGGGGTGCACAGGACCAGGTGTATCAGATGAGGGGATGCAGCAAAGGCGCTCCCGACAGCCGATGAAAACTTACGCACAGGGGTAAAACAGTATCCAGCGTGTCGGCTGAAGAGAAGGGGTACACAGGACCCGGTGTATCAAAGGAAGGGATGCAGCACAGGCGCTCCCGGCAGCCGATGAAAACTTACGCACAAGAGGTAAAGAGTATCTAGCGTGTCGGCTGAAGAGAAGGGGTACACAGGATCCGGTGTATCAAAGGAGGGGATGCAGCACAGGCGCTCCCCGCGGTCGATGAAAACTCACGCACAGGGGTAAAACAGTATCCAGCGTGTCGGCTGACAAAAAGGGGGTACACGGGACCCGGTGTATCAAAAGTTACAGACACCGGCGCAGGTGAAATTGTGCTGGCGTCAACATGAGGTGGAACTGGGGAGGGGAGGACACAAATGTAGGTGACATTTCCGTTGTTGCTGCTGGTAGGTGTGGACCCATGTACCAGATACATCACCTTGTGTGCGTGAGGTGGAAATGGGGAGGGGAGGACACTGTTATACTGCTGTAGGTGACATTTCCGTTGTTGCTGCAGGTAGGTGTGGACCCATGTACCAGACGTATCCACCTTACTGAGGGATTCGCAGTAGCAAGGCGTCTCCACAATCTATATCAGTGTTTGTCTTGTAGAAGGGGAGAAGCCCCATGATGAGAATCACTGTGTTTGTCTGTAGGAGGAAAAGAAGCCTCAGCAACGACAAGTTCTCGATGCAGTATATAGTCAAGCGTGTTTTCCGCGAGCGTTGAATGAAGGAGGTATTGTGTGTGGCGTACCACTCGCAGCAAAGAGCGAGGGAGGTTATCGCACGACATGATGGACCGCAGTTTTCTTCGAGTGAGGGAGAGCAGCCATACCGACGCGTGCTGTATGACGGGTGAGAATTGGAACTTCGTTTTTTCTGAGAGTCTAAGAGTTGTGTGTGAGCAGGCTGAAGTTTGAATTTCTGAGAGTCGGAGTAAGAGTTGTATGCAAGAAGGCTTATCATGCTTGATGTGTTTGACAAAACAGCTGTCCCAGGATGATAGCATTTACCACCGACCCCGGGGGCGCGCGATGCGCCGGAATCAAGGGGGAGGGAGGAAGTTAGGTGCTCAGATCATCGATAGTTGTTCGTCGAGCGGGGAGGGCAAGTAGGAGTAAATCGCAACAGACTTTTGTTTGGGCTTTGTTGGAGTAAAATCGTGGCAGTGGCTGCAGACTTTTTGGACTTTGTTGGGTACTAGGGGAAATGTGATATTGAAACGTGGCGGGAAGTTTACCCGGATCGATGACGTTGTCGGAGTTATCCTGTTTGCGTCTCTATCTTGCTTTTTAGTAGTACCATCCTTTGGAGGGAGGGGTTTTGACCCGGTGGCCGGGTTTCCCCTTAGGTTTTTATTGATTTGTTGTTTTTGCGGAAAAAACCTGACTTGAGGTGGCGGAAGCACGCATCCCACAGAAGAAGTGGTTAGTTACTTTAGTGTAAAGAACCAGGGAGGGTGTTCGTGTGAGTGCGTATGTAGTCGGATCTGTAGACGAGATGACAGTTTCAGGTGCACTGCACATAGGTATGCGTTGGGTAGTACGACCAGAGAATGATTGTGCGGAGCCCCCACGCCAGCTGCTGTCAGCTGGCGTGCGCGTGGCCCTCCCTGCTCTTTCCCCCCAACCGGGTGTGAGAGATAACAAGCATCTAAACATCAAGCACTACAATCTCTACAAAGACAACAAGGGCATACCACTTAGGGTTGACGAATATGTTCCAACAGGATCACTGATGCCAATCGTTCCTTCCCACTTCGAACTACTTTGTCAAACGTGGCCAAACCATGTTCTCCCTAGCCGATCTACCCTATATCGATATCACTTCCCGCCTTTTCAACCCACTTCCTATGCCCCAGTACAGCTACCACCGTTTTCTCCTGACTATTCCATGCCTCAAACACCTCCCTGTACCTTTTCTTCTACATGTCCAACTCAGTCATGTACATTGCTCTGTCCTTGTCGCCCCAACACGGACGTTTCGCAACGACATGAACCCGATCTTCGCTCTCGGAGTCGCATTCACATTGAACTCATCTTTATCGTCTACCTTCCTGAATCTTCGTCAATGTTCTCGAAGGCCGTTTTCCCCACTCCAAAATTTGACCTTCGGCTTTCTCCCTGCATCCATTGGTCCATGTAGTAGGTACCTATACCTTCTTTCAACACCCGTACACATGGAGACCCTCCATATCCTTGGATCCTTTTGTTTTATGGTGTTCTCTCTCGGCGAAAGAAGCAGATTTCTTGTTCTCGAACCCCCCTAGATGTACCGTTCGTTTCCAATTTACCAGCCTAATCGATTTTGAACTCTTCCTACTCCGTCTACAACCTTAATCCACTCCCACCGGGTCGGTACCCCCATTTTTCTTGTTTGTCCACTTCGCCTCCCAGGCTTCTCTCGGCAATCTCTCCTCTCCCACATCGTACGACATACGGCCTACCTGCCATTTTAACCTACTTACGCCTCTTCCCGATCGTAGGAGTTGGATCCGAAGGGGGGTGTACTCTCTCTCATGTTTTGGCAGCCTTACTTAGCGGTTAGACCGTTGACCACGCGTACGTACTCGACAGGACGGAGCATTGTTCCCACAGGTTCGATCACCGATGGCCAATCGTTCCTTCCTACGTTGCCAAAAAGGTCGCTCAAACATGTTTTCCCATCGGTATCACTTTCCGCTTTATTTTCCAACCCATTTCCTATGCCCCAGTACAGCTACCGTCTTCTCCTGGCTATTTACATTCGTCAGTTGTCTTTCTTTCTGTGCTTTTCCCTTCTACTTTTTTTCCAGCTAGCTCAGTCATGTACATTTCCCTCTCCTTCTTGTACCACGGACATTCTGCAAGTACATGAAGATGGTCTTCGCCCTCGGAGCGGCAATCACACCTGGGTTTGTCGTCTTCATCGTCTACCTTCCTCAATCTTCGTCTACGTTCTCAAAGGCCAACATCCCCAGTCCTAGGTTTGACCTTCAGCTTTGTCTCTGCATCCATTGGCCCTCCATGTAGGTAATCTTTAAATATATTCCTTCTTTGATATTCCGTACACATCGAGACCCTCCGTGCCCTTGGTTTCTTTGGTTTGATCCTGTCCTTCTCTCTCGCCAAAGCAACAACAGATACCTTCTCCTTGAACCCCCTAGACCTCCCCTCTCCAGTGTATCACCTTTGTCAAGTTGGACCCCCTTCCATGCGTCATCTACAACATTAACTCCCTCCGTAGGTTGGTACACCAATTCTTCTTGTTTGTCCACTTCGCCTCCTAAGCCTTTCTCGGCAACCTCTCCTCTCCCATACCGTACATGCGGCACTGCCACCTAGGGGGCGATTATACGGCTACATTGTACTCTTACAGCAGTAGTGTCTCGCGATGAAATCCACGCAGAAAGACCTGTCTGTGTCCTCTGCATACGGCAATCGGTATAGAAATAAGAACAAGAACCCCGTTTATAATAGATAGGTGGATACCTGTTCCAAATAAGAACTTGGAAAATAAGAACATGTGCTCGGTTGGAGGCAACCAATAAGCGTCGAGCCTCAAGCTAAATAAGCGGTTCTTAAATGGTGGCGCGTTCTGTACTGCATATGTACACCCATTACATGTGGTTGGTTATGGGAAACCTACACTTTTTGACAAGTGGAATAAGCTTCCACGGAGGAAGTCAAAATTGACTTCCATAGAGGGAAGGAGTGGTTACGCCATGGAAGTTATATGGCTTCCATTGAAGTCAATTTGACTTCCATAGAATCTGTTCGTCTGTTTCGGGTTCCAGCTTCCATGATGCTTCCATGGAAGCGAAAATAATATGGAAACACCCAAAACACCCGATATTAACCGCTCGTTCGGTGCTTCCATGGAAGTCGCGTTTCGGCCTTCCACGGAAGCGCGACGAGCTTCCATGGAGGAAGGAAGTAGTCGCTCGACAGAGTTTCTGGTACTTACCCTTTGTGGGGCCAACAGAGTACCAAACCGATTTCATCTAGTGGAGTTGTTGCTTGGGCGGCGTGGGCAGTCTTTCTTACGACACGTGGCGTTCGCACCCTGTCGGACACACAGCACTGTTGAACAATCTTACAGTTGCACCCTTTCTCTCCACCCGCCTCAGCACACGTACGTACTGTTTATAAATGTATTACACACCCCAAATGTCGCATGAACCATTCAAATGTATGCAGAATACCGGCCTGCCATTTTCCAAAGATATGCACCTAACAGCTACTACCTACTTTTATTTTGTGGACAAGAAGGCAGTGGCACTGGCCTCACCCGAATCAAACGATTTCAGGAAACCTCAACAACAGCGCTCGTCGACCGAGAAAGGAAAACACACATATCTTGCACCCGATTCACCTGTGGCGTCTACTCATTCTTCGATTTTGAGGACGAAGGTACATCTCAATCCTCGTTACCCTCCTTCGATGTTGCAAAATCAGACAAAAAATAGCAGAAACGCGAGTTGTAATAAGGATCGACCGCGCTAACCAGCTGACCAATGAAAAAACGTCAGTGTGTGTGTGCGGGCAGGTGAACCGGCACTATTGTGGGCTACCATGGTACCAAACCGGCACTACATCGGGCCCACACGGTATAGTGCCAAAACCGGCACTAAACCGGGCGCTGTCTGTGTCCAGAGATTTCACCGGCACTAAACCGGCAGTTGGCACTACTAAACCGGCACAAAACCGGGCCCAGTACCGTACGCGAAAATACATGGTGTGTTGTGCGGGTATGCGTGGACACGGTTTTTTCTGCGGGTGTTTCGAGTCGTCGGGCGCAAGGATGATGACCTTTTCTGGGTACAAAATCGACCCCGTCCGGGTACACCAGCCAGTAACCAACATCGGTTGCACGGGGGGGTCTCGAGATGCCGCTGGCTACCTGGGGGTACCTGGGGTGCATGTATGTTGATTCCTGAGTGCACCCTAAAATGGTGATATACCACCCGGGTTGCGCATTTGTTTCTGGTTACTCCTCTTGAAAGAAGAACCCGCCGTTGTGGTGTATCAATGCGAATACAGACAAGAACGGAGCCCTCAAGGCATGGCGGCAGCAAGATAAGCAGTCAGGATGGCTGGCGGTGCCCCCACAGGAATTAGTTCCAGATTTTGATTCGGGGAGGGAGGGGACCTCGTAAAATAACACTTGTAGTACGTGCGGAGGGGGGGTACTGAAAGCCGGCCATTTAACCGTTGACCTCGCATCCCTGCAAAACTGGGACGGAGCGCACCTGACCAGGCGTTTAATTAAATCGCCGAACGCGAACCCCTTGAGGTATTCGGCGAGTCGAAGGGGGGGGGGGGGAGGGTACTCATAGTCGTGCGTGCCGTTGTCGTTAGACCATTGACCCCGCATCCCTACAAAGCCGGGACGGAGCACACCGGGTTATCACTGGACCAGGCGCTCACATCACCAAGCGCGAAGCGCCGTGAGGTATTCGGCAAGTCGCATGAGCTATCTATCTACGTTTCGCAGCTCAGACGTGCATATTTCTCCCTCCTTGTCGTATGATGGACATTCCCGCAACTACATGAACCCTTTCATTGCACTTGGGACGCCCGTTTTTTTCATTCTGCTAGTGGTAAACACGCCATTGCACTCTTAGGGGCACGTTGAAACCACCCAGGAAGATCTCTGGTGTGTGCTTTGCGTGGGGCAATCGTCGTACAAGTAGGAACAAGAACCCGCGAATCCTAGGTGGATTCCTGCTCAAAATAAGAACTTGGAGAAGAACGGCATGGGCTCGGTTCGAGGCAACCACTAAGCGTCGAGCCTCACTCAGCATAAGCGGTTTCAAGCGGTGGCGTGTTCTGTAAGAAATGCCATTTTCCTTCTCTTTCGTGTATGGGTATGAACCTCCAGGCTGTTATGCATGCAGTCTCCCTGTGTGTATTGGGAACAATTCAAGACAAACATACTATTTTGCGGGGGGTGGCTGCCCCTTCCGTCTCTGCAGCTTGGCACAGGGTGTCAGCCAAGCACACACATCAATCTGACTACGAAAACAGCAACAACCGCAACAGCAACTCCAGAATGATGGTGGACGACGGCACCACCATCAACGGCATCATGATCGATGCTCCGGAACAGGACAACAGTGGCGACCCTGCTGGGGTGAGAAGGTTGCGCGGGCTTTATATTTCTGGTGTTGTAGCTGCTGTGCCGTGGGTTACGGAAACCGGTTGTCTGCCTTTAGTCGTTGGCTCCCCCTTCCGGCTACTTTACTTCCATGTGAAAGACTTTCAAGATGGGCCCATGAAGGATGCCTAAAGGGGTGAGGATGCGCAAGTACAAAATATTTTGAACAAATAATTGTGGGGTGTTGTCCTTTCACGTCTGTCTTTCCTGCCGCAGGTCCTGTCGCATATGCATACACTTCGATGTCGGACGCCATCATTGTCTATGCGTGTGCTTGCCAGCCATCTCGAGATCCTTGTCCTAGCGAAAGGTGAAATCCGTGTAGACTACAAGTATGCCGTGCAAGGAAGGAAGGGCACAGCAGGCACGGCACGAAAGGGGCGACACACAAGAGACATTTTTTTTCAAGACCCTAGACCACGCCTACAGTAGTCTAAAGTAGGTTGGAATCTGACGCTGGTGTGTGTAACACCAGGCGTGTGTGCAGTTTTTGGCTGTTGTTGTATTTCTTGTCTTTTTCCATTTACCGTCGTCGCTGGCAGTTTCCGGCGACTTGGCATGGGCCTCCCTGCTCTGCTGACGAGGCACGATCCGGGGTATCTCACAAGAAACCTTCTCGGCGACACATACCTTCCTGACTTATTCTCCAGAACGGCTAACAACCATCTCTCTCTTGAGCAATAATCTGAAGTCAAACGCTCTGTATTCCCGGACGGTGATCTCGAACAAGGCACCACTCACACCGACGGGCTTGAAAGGGTCATGGACTTGATCACCCAAAATACAATCCAACCCCAACCCGACTCCAAAACACGAAACCCGACCAATTGACCGACCAAACCCACCTTACTCCACCCTACCCAACCCAATCCAACCCAAAACCCAACCCAACCCCACCAACCGACCGACCAAATCCACACCCTACCCTACCCTACCCAACCCAACCCAACCCAAAACCAAACCCTACCCTACCCCAAAACACATCCCGACCGACCGACCGACTGGCCCAACCCTACGCTACCGTACCCAACCCAAAACGCAACCTAATACCCCCAACCCGACCAACCGACCCACCAACCCAACCCACCCTATCCCCAACCCAACCCAACCCAACCCGACCCCAAAGCACAGCCCAACCAACCGACCGACCACCAACCAATGACCACCAACCGATCGATCAAACCCACCCTACCCATCCCAACCCCCCAATCGGCCCAACCCTATACCCTAAGCTACCCTACCCTACCTAACCCAACTCAACCCAACACCCAAAACCCATCCCCAACCCAACCAACCGACCGACCGACCGACCGACCGACCGACCGACCCAACCCGCCCTACCCACAACCGAACCCGACCCGACCCTCACCCGCAACCCGACCAACTGACCGACCAAAACCACCCTACCTAACCCCTTACCCAACCCATAACCCCACACAACACAACACAACACAACACAACACAACTCTCAACCCCAACCCACCACAATCCGACCCCAAAACACACCCGGACCAACCGACCGACCAAACCCACCCGGCCCCGGGAAACGATAAACGAGACCATCAAGGGAGTTTCATTTTTTATTCGATACCCCGGGGACAAAACAAAGACATCCCCGAGGTTACGAGACCCCCCGGGAACAGGACCCAGCCATTCCCGGGGTTTCCACGCCAGAATTCTAGTCAGGCAGCTAGGCAGCAGCTGGGCGCGGCGCGGCGCCCACACATACATCCATCGCTGTGTTTTGGAGCGTTGCGGACAGTACCTCAACTAGGTGGGCAGCCATTAATAGCAGCGTGATCAACCTTGGGTTGTGTGCGGCGATACAACACCCTCAACATGTGATTAACCCTGGTCCCCGCTTGCGCGATGGAGAGCAGAGACAACGCACACCGGAGCCGATGCTAACGTACTACCTCGGTGCCTGATGTGGTCATGACTGCGGTGTGTGTGGTCCAGAATATTGGGAGTGGAAGGAGGTTCGTGTGCTGTAGGCAAGTTTCGCTCAAGGGAAAGGTTTTCGGGACAACGTGCACGATTGTATGCACGATAACCCCTCTCTATCTTTAGTACGGAATTGTATTAGTTTGCCGTGATTATTATCCATTTTTGCGATAGTGATATCGTGGGGTCGATCTGCTGAGTGAGGCGGAAAAAAAGAGTCGAATCAACCCAGTCACGTAAGGATTTGAAGCCGCAAGCTACTTTTCCTAGAGACACGAGAGAACGCAATCATCTAGAAGAGTCCACATCAAAAGCAGTGTTGACATGTCTCCTTTCTTCCCGAATAATCACTTTTCAACACGAAAACAGCGCATCCATCCTCAACTTTTACCCTCTTTCGTAGCCAGAAGCGGCCTAGCCGGGGCTGTGCTGTTGTTGTTACTGCTGTGTGATTTCTCTCCACGTATCCTATTTGTTGTGGGATGAGGCATGTTGTGCTGTATAGTTTGGCAGGTACATGCACACGCTTTCTTCCTGGATGCCTGCATCATCAATCAATTGCCTGCTGCTGCAACGGCGAATCTTTTTCATTTTTTTTTCATGTGAGACATCAGCTCTCTCTTGTGTAGCCACAACGCCGCCTGGGCGCGAGACGGGGGGCGTGCAGCACCATCCACCTTTTGTGCCTCGGCCTCCCTCGACGCGAAAGGACTTGATTGGTAGCCGTGAGTTTATTGTTCTAAAACAGACCACACAGCAGCACAGCAGCAGCACCCCATAGTCTAACCGAATTGATTGGCCCTTTTCTTGTGTAACCGCAGTCGGTGTCGCCGCCACCTGCTCACGCTCACGCGCCGGCGCGCCACGGTCGCGGCCGCGCTGGGCGCGAGAGGCACGTCGCGCAGCATCTTGTGTGCCTTGGTCTCCCCCTCCTCGCGAAAGAGCCGGAGACGCTGAAACAACCAACAGCGCGTTTTTGAAAAGGGGCCACAACAACTACACTACATACTACGGCCCGACAGTTTTAAGATACAGAGATGCCCATCGGCGTCGGCCTTGGCGTCGGGTGCCCCGCTCCGAAGATCTGCCGAAGATCAAGAGGGTGTTTTTTCAATAAAAAAATGCAAATAAACTTTCCACTGGTGAGACTGCACCAACAATAATTGGCGAAGAAAATTCCCTTGGTTCATGTGCCCAATGTCCCGAAAAAATGGCAGTTAGTTGGTGGTATCCAAATTTCAAGAGCGAGTACAGCCCCACCTTGCGCGGTACAGTCTCCACTCTTTACCAACATTGACCAGCCATTCTCCCCTCCGCGCTCCTCACACACATCGTCCTCTCAATCTCTCTGGCTTCCCTTCCTTTTCGACGAGGCCTCAAGATAGTCTCGAGACTGGGACTGATTGACTGACTGAAAAAGAAGAGGCGGAGGTGAGAGAGCGTTCGATTCTAATACTGCTGTATGTACGTATTCCGCCCTCCTTGATGGTGGTCTCTCTGGCCGGATGAAATGTTCTTGCACTGCTGCTGTCTGCACTGCAACTACTGCTGCTGTATATGTGTGTAGATGCGGGCAGTATGCTCTTGCCGCCCCGCTCAGTCGTATATTGCACAGCAAAGGAGCTATAACAGAGCAGTCATCATCTCCGCCACGGACGACACGGCGGACGATCTTTCAGTTGGCCTACTGCTGTAGTGTTGAAGAGACTGCTGAGCATCTGGCGTGCCCACAGCAGCCCCAGGAAGAGTTGAGTTGGAGACTCCACATGCGTTTTGGAGGGTGCTGTTGCAAGCGAAAACGTCTGCGTTCCTCTCCGCCTGCGTACTTGTGGTTGGTGTTCGCCACCGCTTCCACGTCGCAGTTACTGCTGTCAGTTAGTCTTTTCTTCACTTGAGGCTCTCGGAGGGTCGTCGTTGGTGCTGCTCAGATCAATCTCCAGCAGACCGATCGGCGAAGCTTCGCGGGCTGATCAGATCCCGGTCAAGGGCTGTGAAAGATTGTCTTTTTCCACCCAATCATCTCCCACACTGATGACAATTTTGCTTAAACCGCCCGTGGGACGCCCATGGGTCATCAATAGTCTACAGTACCTTAGCCACGTGCACATCAACCTACAAATGTAGAACTTAGCCACCGGCACCAACCTACATATACATAGCACGTTCGTGTGGGCTTGGGTTTAGGGTTGGGGTTGGCGTTTCGGTGACAGTCGCTATAATGCCCGCGTGCCAAAGCGTCTAACCCAACCCTAAACCCTAAAATGCCCGTTCCAAAGCATAGTATATTGTGTAGCAGCTTCGTTTGTTCGGAGATATCGTATGTATATACATACAGTAGAAGTAACCATATGTAGATTCTCCTCGGAGCTGGTTCAGCGAGCGCGGTGGGCAGATTGTTGCTTCGGGGTAATGTTTTTTCGGGGCGCTATGTACAATCTGCAGTAGTACGTGGGTCATTCTTCAAACAGGTATCTACAGTACCTATGCATACAAGTGTTGTCCCTAGCTGTTGATGATGAAGGTTGTGAGTCTACAGCAGAAATACTACTTACAGGTTCTCCCCGGCCATGCGGTTCGTGTGCTTTCACCGCGTACATAGGTGTCAACCCTAAAACATATCACGCGAGAAAACAAATGGAGTCATGATCCGGAGCCTTGGCGATGTCCGCCAAAGCCTCCGTCGGATGCCTTCTTGACTTCCACTTGATACTGCTGTTGGTCCTCTCTTTCTGTGCCTGCTGGGCTTGCCTTTTAACGGGCGTACACGACAGCAACAGCAGTTTTCATCCTGACGCGCACTACTAAGACGCCACACTCACGGGACGGTGCCACGTTTTTGTCTCTACCTCTGTAGCTGGGAAAAAGAAGCTGCGGTTCTGTAGTCTCCTAGTCCTTTCGTGCATGGGACATGGAGTGGCATAATGACCTCTGGCTGTCGTGAACTCAGTCTCCCTGTGTTCTTCGGAACCACCTACAGTAACTAGTATTTTCTCTGACGGGGGGCGGCCACTCCTTCCTTCTGTCTCTCTCTCTGCAGCTCGCACGAGGTTTCAAGCACACACGCACATCAACACCACCACCACCAACAACAACAACAACAACAACAACAACACCGCAAAGGATGGAAGACGACGGTAACACCACCAACGGCGTCATGATCGATGCTCCGGAACAAGACAGCAATGACCATGGCAGCCAAGACCCCCCTTCGGTGAGAAGGTCGCGCGGAGTTCTTGTAGCTGACTGCTGTGCAGTGTTGTGACGACCGACTGTCTGGCTTCAGTCAGAGTTTGGGTAAGGCTTGGGTTAGGTCTAACCCTAACCCTATCCCTTGGCTGACCCAGCTACTTCCATGCAAGGTTCCAAGATGGGCTCATGAGTATTGACAGAAGGAGGCGGGGGGGGGGCGCAAAGTGGGACACGACTGGTTTGGTTCGCACAGAAATGTTCTGGGCGACACAGACACTATCTATCTTCCTGATTTCTTCTCAAGAACGGTTAAAAACAGTTTCCCTCTCGAGCGTAGACTAGTCTAAAAGTCGAACGTTCTGTATTGCCCAACGGCGATCTCGAACAACGCACAACTCACACCGACGGGCTTGAACAGATCACGACCGACCTTGACCACCCAATAGTTGGGGGATGCGTGAAGGAGTTGGGGGCACCTCCTCCGTGCGATACCATCAACGAATACGGGTATCATCATCCATGCACAATCTACCAAACCACCGGCAGTTTCGCGAAACCGCTGACGGGGCACGCATCGGCTGCCCATGGGCAGCCCATGATCTGCCCATTTCAACCTAGAACTCGCCACCGGCATGTCGACCTAGAACTCAGCCATCAGCACATCAACCTAGAACTTAGCCAGCGCCAACCTAGCACGTATCGTCTGGGCTTGGGGATAGGGTTAGGGTTAGCATTAGGGTTATGTGCCGTTATAATGCCCGTAGGAAAGCTGATAACCTAGTGTTTAGGAGCACACTGGTTCCGGTTGGAGGGCACTCATTGGCCGCCCATGGGCTGCCTATCGGCTTGCTCGTGGGCATTCCCCATGGGCGGTTTATCAACACTGTAGAAAGTGCGGGAGACCCTCCATGCAAACCATGACATCGTGAACTCTTGTTTGTGTCGTGCGTGCTTGCATTCAAGCCCGACACCAGGGCGGAGGACATGTCGGACGACGACTTCGACACTGAGATTGCCGATGAGATCAAGGCAGACGTCAGGTGAGCATGTGAAGTAGTCTAGTCTGGTTCTCACGCCGTCCACGTTTGCTGCGTCAGATTGCACAGTTTTCCGGTCCCTCGGAACCCGAATGCCCCCGGAAGACGTCCATCACACAAACATACTTTTACAGTCATTCACGTAAGCTTGTTGACTTCTTTCAGAGCTCAGTATACCGATTTTGGGTGTGTCGTGTGGCTTCTGACCGTGTCGTAAGGCAGTGACATTCTCCTGTTCTTCAGATCGTAAAAAATCATTTCTTGTTGGTCTTTCTCTTCACAGGATGTTCTCGGGGTGCCAGGACAAACAGACCTCGGCGGATGTCCACGACGTTACCAAGTTCGGCGTGCCCAACTCTGACGGCGGCGCCGGGGGTGCCTGCACCAACGCGCTCCTCGTCAACGTGGCAAGTGTTTGGGGCTGCTGCGTTCGTTGTCGTTGTTGTTGCTGTCCTTGTCATGGCGTTTCGGACGTTGTCATGGCGTTTCGGGCGTGTTTCGCCTACGTGCTGTCTTTTTCTGTGTAAGAACGTGTCCGTTTCGGGCTAACGTCCAACCAGGTATCATTGTTGTTGCCTGTATCACCGCCATAGGTGCGTTCGCCTCCCCACTCGATCCCGGAAAATACCACAATAGTCATCGTGCTTCGGCCCTCCCGCTTGGTCTGTTGGAGCTGTTGTGACTCCTTCCTTCTCCTTTTCATGCGTTTCTCTCGTGTTTCTTGTGCCTTGCGTCTTGTGCCTTCTGTTCTTTGCCTTTTGTCTTGTCTTGCAGAAAGACGACGAACCCGACTCCTGGATGAGCCTCTTGAAGGGCATGCGCACCACCCTCAGCACCAAGAAGTTCAAGCAGGTAGCCTGGAGTTCGTGTTGCCAAATAGTTTCAACTGCATGATGCGGGTTTATCCCTGCAACTGGTACGCGGCGAGTGCAAGAGATTGGTTTGTGTGCGTGTCCGTTGGTCGTTAGAAACGACCGCGTAACGTCCGCATTCAGTCGATTTTCGTTTTATACTGCTTACGTGTTCATGGCGTTATAAGAGAACAGGGCGTATCGTGAGGAGAGTCTCTCCTATAGCTTACATACGCGAGAAACCGAGTTGAATAAATACATGACCTTTGTTGTGTGAAAACTGAATCGTTGCGGATGTCGACAACGACAACAACATGGCAATGAAACAACACAAGACGGTAGAACTTGCACGAAACCGCCACTAGATTATTTGGAGATGACCAAAGAGTATGGCTGGGGCACAGGCGTGTTTCTGTATGGCCGAGAACCAGGTCCTGTTGCTTTTCGCTCAACCAAGATGAATCGTGCGCATCTTCGTTGTTCTCCATCCTTTCGTTGTCGACTGCATCTCACCAACAGATTCCCCAGATGGCCACCTCCAAGAAGCTCGACATCCACTCGCCCTTCTCCTTGGCTGGGGTAAGAGACAACAGGAGCGAGTACGGCGTATTTCGGCAACTGTGGTACTACAGCTACGCACTAACGAAGACTGTTGCCTGCGTTGAGACAACCAAATCAAATCGAACCGAAGAGGCTAGGCTAGACGGTCAGTAAAACAACAATGCCCATGAGCCGGGTCGGAGCAATGCGGATTATCCGCGACAGCCCCCCGACGAGGTTATCAAACAAAATAAGGTTAGGCTGGTGGCCAATGCCCAGGATGAAAGGGGCGCGATCTCGACGAAGGCTCCGCGACCTCTGTAAGAAACAGCATGTTCTCGTATGCAAAGAAACCAACTAGTGGCGGATGAGTGTGACGCGTGCGAGATCATAGTTCCAACTGAGGAAACCGTCAACTGCTACACTATTTCATTTGGGGCTGTCTTGTCGGCTGTGGTGTGCTCAGGGCGAGGGAGGGAAGCACCGGGCCCTCCTCATCGGCATCAACTACGTCGGGGATCCCTCGGTCGAGCTCAAGGGCTGCCACAACGACGTCGCGCAGATGAAGGACTACATCGTGGAGCACGTGAGCTACGAACACTATACCACCAATTGTTGGTTTCGGCTAATCTACCAAATATTGGTAGATATCCTATCGCCAACTGTCTTGTTCGATTGCCACGAAGAGAGCTGAGCAGCTGATGAGGGAGAGCGAACTGCGAAGCACTTGAGTATGGCACGCCGTCTTCTGTGGGTCAAACGTGGCCAAGATCGGGGTTCTTGAACGATGGCTCCAATCTTAAAAGTCTACACAGGGTACCGTACAAGTGGAACAACACACCGGAATAACACAGTCGTGGTGCCTACCTCATGATGCCCCACCGTGTATATGTAATGCCTATTCAAATGCTTCAGGGATATCCTGCTGAAGAAGGCGAAGACCTGAAGATCGTGATGGATGACGGGGAGCATACCGCCCCTACCAGGGCTAACATCATCGAAGCCATCGAGTGAGTTGCCGTCGTTGTTGCCATGAGAGTGACTTGTTGGGTTATTGTTTGTGAATCAGAGGCTCCACAACCGCCCTGCTCTTCTCGTCGTTAACCTTCACGTGCCCCGCGCCCACGTCAAAATATATCGGTTTCGCGCAGGTGGCTCGTCGAGGGCGCCGCGCCAGGCGATTCGCTTTTCATGCACTACTCCGGTGAGTTTTCCGTCTCTCAGCCCTTGCGCTGAGCTATGCTGCAATGAGGAAATGAATGAAAGTGGGGCACAACAGTGCATTTGAAGTGATGGCAGACGGTGAGACTTTTTATTTTTTCGTTCCCCCTTCGTGCTAGCCACAGTATTGAGTATCTATGCTGCTGGTTTGGGGAGGGGGGGGGTCATACAACTGCCGGGGGGGTGGGGTGGAACAACGGGATTAAGTTATCCCGTTTTCGGTTGTCACGTGTTTATGTTCACAGGACACGGCGGGTCTGTGGAGGATACCGACAACAACGAGAAGGACAAGAGGGATGAGACCATGATCCCAACCGACTACAGCATGTCCGGACACATCAAGGATGATGAGCTCCTCTCCGAGGTTCGCACCGCGTGTTGGTTTTGTTGGGTTGGGGGTGATCGTCCATGGTGTTCTTGTTCCTGGCTGTGATGGAAATGCTCTCGTACATGGGGTTCTTGGCAAACTAACAATAATCGATTACCGTCCTGTACCGCCAAGCCCTCGCCGCAGAATGGGAGCGTTAAATAATTCTTGCTCAGGTGACCCCAGGAGTTAAAAAAATAACACGAAGAAAGCTAGTTGTTCTGTATTCACGAATCCACTTCTCTATTGCCCATGCTGTACCGCAATGTCTGGGTCAGTGCTGCTTGGCACCTTTTTGGTTCTACTACATGTTCCGCATTCCGACACTCACTATTTTCTCTTTCGCGGGTGTGTTGGCTGCGACAGTTGGTCCTACCCCTGCCGGAGGGCGTCGTTCTGTCCGTGGTTGTGGATTGCTGCCACAGCGGCTCCATCCTTGACCTGCCCTACACCTTCGACGCCGACGAGGGGGCCCTTCAGCTGGTGGACGACGGCGGCTCTGGGGTCGTGCTCAAGAAGGCCAAGTTCAACATGACCAAGGTGTGGATATGAGCACAAGCGCTGGTGAAAGACTTGGTCAGATCGAGCGGAAGCGATTGGACCATCGTCTCTTTATAAGGGACAGAATATAATCTCTGTCGCAATGATATGTATTTCAGACCGAGGCCGCAACTGAGCCATGTCGTATTGAGACGGCAGGCTATTAAATGGTACCGAGAAAGTTGTGACCGAACAGAAGATATGCGAGCGATATACAATGGGGTCGGCTTAGATAGGGTGAAAGGGGGGAGATTCATTTTTTCGTGCTGTGTGGTCTTCTGTAAGGGCCCATGTTTGCTGCCCAATACTGCCCGACGCGCTTGGAACCCACGACAGATTAGGAAAGCGCGCAAGCTGAACCTCAGAGGCCCCTACATGAAAGCCATTCGAGCAAAGGCCGCCGCCGCAGCAGCAGCGAAAGCTGCCGCAGCGAAAGCCGCCAGCGAAAAGCAGCAGCAGGAGCAGGAGCAAACTCCACAGCCAGTCGGCGGCAGCAGCACGGCCTTCAAGGTGGGCTCCAAGGTTGCAGCGGCCGCGGCGAAAGCGAGGGCGTCTGCCGCCGCCAAAGCCGCCAGTCAGCAGGAGCAAGAGCAGGAGAAGCCCGCCGCCAACGGCGGCACCGCCGATACCGCGAAGGATCAACCGCCCTCCGAGGACGTAGCGCCCAGTTCCACTGTGGTAAGCACTCCAAATTTTCGTTTTGTCCTGAGCCTTTTTATGGACGTACTACACAGCGGATTTGTTGGTGATTTCCCGTACCCCACCCATGTCCACGGAACTGCCGGCGTCGATCGGTCGGCAGATTCCAGGAGTCGATTATATCGAGACCTGTGGGCTGCTTAGAGATTTAGATTTATAGAATCACAGGAACACAAAAGGTGCGTTGGTTTTATGGATTCTTGGGTCGTTTCGCCTTAAACCTGATCCAAGTCCTGATTGTTGCCCAAAATTGACCGCATACACCGTGTATTCGTGCGCCAAGGAAGATAGACGAGGGAGGTTTGCGCTGCATACCCAAGTCTGGCCCTGTGAGCCGACACTCGGGAGAACTCGCCCTCGACTTCCAAATGTGAAGACCACAACAGCAAGAACGACACCTCGCTCACGCTCTTTCCCATGCCTCCCTCCCCCACTCCTTGTGCGCAAGCGCAGATGCAGGCCCCGACGTTTAAGCTGAGCATCGAGACCGAGGTCATAAAGTCCATGGAAACAGGTGGTTACATAACGCCCGACCCGACGGCCTTCAAGAGCTTCACGTCGTGCGAAGCCGACATGGAGGAGGACGGGCAGGACGACTGCGACTTGTCGGTCTTCGTAGTCACGCCATCGAGGTAAACTTGGTGTGTAGACGTTCATTTTTAGCTGCTTTATCTGGTTGCAAGATTTGAAGGAAGGCTTTGGCCTATGCCACCGCTGAACTGTGGACAAGATTGAAGGGAAGGCAGCGATGTAAATGTGTACTCTTGTGACCCCACGTGGAGTTCAAAGTCAACACCTGTTCCATCGTCTGCATACCGTTGAAGGTTCAAGTCGGCTGACGATGCGAAAAATATGCTGTCAAATCATGGGCTTTCCGTTAAATGTTGCTCCATGGGCTGAAGGAGTCTGCGTTCTGTCGTTCGCGCAGTCTTGATGTTTTCCGAAACTTGCTATATGCGCTGGTAGATTACACAAGTACGGTATCCCGCCTTCGCCGATTCCGAGATCTGCACGACCTCGGGCATCGTTGCCAACGGTGCCTTGGCATTCACAGACATTTGTCGCTTCCGGTCTAGGGAAACGTGTGTTTCTACCACCTGGCACCGCCAGCAATCACAGCAGCAGCGTCGTTCCGGTGTTGTAGTACTAGGGCAAGACCCTGAGTACTCCTCTTCGCGAATGTCGTCGTTCTCAGCACTTTTGCTTGCTGTCCGGCGTTTGTCTACGATTCTTGACTTTGGTAGCGAGTCCGGCATCATCCCGCCCACTCATACCTGTCGGCGTTGAGGCTACTCTTACATTGATTTTTCCGATTGATAAGAGCAACTCCCCCACCCTCCACCCCCGACAGCGTGGACGAAGAGAGCGGCCACGAACACGCTGCGGGCATCAGCATGCTGTGGGTGGACTCTGAGTCCTCTACAGGTTACAGCATGAAGCATTTGACCAAGGGAGATGCCCGTTTCGATGGCAAGCGTGCTGTGTACATCGAAGCCACCAAGGTGAACTAATTCGTGTTACCACCAAAGGGAGCTGTTGATGTCGGTATCGTACCATGCATTGACGGAAGTCACGTCAATGTGCAGGTTCAATGGACGCCTCTCAACGTCGGGGTGACCATCGCCGAGAACCCTCCGCGCGTATGTTTGCGTGTCCTTCGGTTGACAGGTTTGTGTGTATAGCGTATTGAGTTCAGCGTTCCTCCACGGGATATACAGCGCGGCAACCAATAGACCACAACAACAAGCCAGAGCATGCCCCCAAATGCTGGATTGAGGTTTCGAATTCGGCCACGCGTTGATAGTCTCTCCCTTCGACCTCACAAAAGTCGGTCGAGCTTGTTGCTCCCCGCCGAAGCTCCAACCCGATTCTGAACGTAAACACATATGTATACCATTCACGAGTACTCAATCAACACTGAATAGGCCTCGACGAAAACAACTCATTTGCCTGCAGCTAGTGGTAGAGACGGCGTGGATGTGTCGCACAGCACCATCACAACAACACCCCGCCGTAATCTGAACATGTGTGTGTGTGTGTGTGGGTTGGTGCGGTCCGACAGGGTGAAGGTGAGGAGCCGTTCCTTGTAGCGGTATTCGCTCCGGAAGACTTCAAGCCGGCAAGCGCGGGCGGTGGCAGTGGCGTCGCTCCTGAGAGCACGGAGTTCGTCGTGTGGGTGTGCGACAAGCTTGCTCACTCCAGGAACGAAACGCTAAACTGGACCGCGTGCGGGTCTATCGTCGGCACCAAGGTGCAAAGTTGCCCAGTCAGCGCGATTTCCATAGCGGAGAGTATGCCTCATTTGTTTTGATTCGTCCGCAGTTGTTTTATTGTGGGTGGTAGACACTCCTTTTCTTTGTGATATCGGTGTTGATTGTTGGGGTGGTTGAATTGAACACGATCCGTCCACGGTCGGTTCGGCATGTGAAACCGTGTTCTGAGAAAGCTGCGACAAGCTGGGCCTGTCCCCACGCATTATTCTTCAATGTCTGCTAGTACGCGGTGTTGACATTTGCACCATCCCAACTTCCAAGCCATCGATTGATCGTATCTCCACACCTTGCTAACAACCACAATCCATGAACCAACAACGTCAGGTGAAGAGGACATCCGCCACGACCTCTACCTCCGGCGAGCGCCTGGTTATCGTCGAGGCCTTGGACGTGAAGAACGAGGCTCGTGTGTTCTACGGCACCTCTCTCGGCAACGACGATCTGCAGATGTCCATGTTCCCCACCCCCCGCGCGATGAGAGCCTCCAACCAGCAGGTCAGACGAGGTTGACCGATCGAGCAGGCGCATCGGGAAGAGAGAATATTAGCGATGTTTTTGTCGTATGCGTTGCAGCTCCGGCATGTTGGTGATCACGTCTGTTGCGTAGTGGATGCTTTCTGCAGCCACGGGGCGGATTCTTTTTGGATGGGGTGTGCTTGGATGCTTTGGACGGTACCTGGTTAAACAGAGCCCCACAAACAAGAGGGGACCCTGAGGTACTCTATATCCTGTTCACCTTTTCTTTGGGTGCCGGAACCAAGAGTTCTTCTGGGCGCCTCCCACTTCCTCCCCCAGCGTAGGACTCTGTGCCTATTCCTCTACGCGAGAGTTTCAGTTGCGTGACCTTTGCAAACACTCAACCCACTCAACCGACTCCTTGTTCACAAGGTGTCCACCGTGCAAGCTTCTACCCTCGAGAAGGACGGCGAGACTTTCGCCATCGCCATGGCCTTGCCAGCCACTATCCCCAAGAAAACACCCGTTGCCGGTGACAGCAGCGACACCTCGGACGACGAAACCGAGATCCGGCCCTCCATGCTCTACGCGCAGTCCCTGAACGACCCAGGATTCTACGCCGGCAGCATCGAGATCCCCGGCGACACCCGCTGCTTCATGACTACCCCTGCCTACGTACGTGGGCATAGGCAGCGGCCGGAATTGACTTCTCCTATATATCCTTGTTCATCGGCGTTTCCGAGTGTCGGCTTGGCAATCTATACGTTATTGCTTGCTGGTCATCGGCCCAGTTTGATTGTTCGTTTTCTGTGTTCGGCTCTCGTTTCTTGTTTCTAGTCTCAGAGAGCCACAACGTACATGTCTCTCGTGGACGCTGTGGCATGGACAAAGAAATCCTGCAAACAATGATCCCGCCAAACGTCAACACTTCCCCGTTTGCTGACCATTCCTCTTCTCCCGAACGATGGGAATTTGGTGTTGACTGCGCTTATCAGGGACTCAAGACAGACGTGTACGTTGCCGGGACCAAGAAGGTGATTTGGTACGACGACAGGGCTTGGGACGGGAGCACCGAAAAAGCTGGGTGAGCTGCTACTGAAATGCTTTCTACATGCTGCGTCGATACCACAATTGGCTCAACATACGGCATGAGCCCTGAATCAACTTTACACCGCACAGCCTGGGTGGCAGGCCAACAACACGTTCGGTTGTTTGTCAACGGGGATGTTTAGTCCGTCGCTGGCCGTGCCACTAGCCGCCGCTGTGTTCATGTTCCAATGCGTAACATTGTGGAGTTCGTAGTCAAATGGATTGACAAGCCGGTCGTGTATAAGCCGGCGAAACGACGCCCAGGATAAGCGTGAGGGTGTTGTAGACCCTTTCCCCCTCACCTCGTATCGGCTGAGCGTTTGGCTTACTCGCCACTATTTCCTCCCCACCCACGTGTTTGTGTACAGCGTCTCTTTGAACTCGGTGGACTTCACTTCCCCTGCCAAGGAGATGCGCACCATGATCGACAAGCAGTTCATCAGGCACGTCTTCATCCTGCTGGTAAGTGAAGCCTGGAGACGACGCCTACGTACACAACGGCGCCTTGGCTACAGGATAGATCCTGTGCTGTGCTTGTCTTCCAGCAGATGCGGAGCGAAAATCCTAAGCCCCCGCAGAGAAATGCAGCCCAATCAAATTGGACGGACCTCTATGTGTAACTGGTACGACTCCGAATGCCCCAACGGAAGGTTGCACTCCGAGGCCGAGTGAGCAAAACTCTGTCTTGATCAACCCCTCCCCGCAACCGTTCACCCACCTGTCCACCACGCAGGAGAACGGCAAGCTGCTGTACACGTCGCAAGACCCGGAGGAGGGCAGCATATTCGACGAGCCTGTCGACATTCTGCCCAACGTCGAGGCGTTCAGCTGCCACGCGGACTCCATCGGAAACGTCCACGTCAACAACATCAACAGTAAGTGCGCGCGCGCGCGTTTTTACAGCCCACGCACGCCGTAGGAGGGTATCGGGGACCGGTGCTTTGGGACAATCGTGATGGCAATACACCGTGGGAATTGGTTTTTGTCGGTGATGACCGATGAACTACGTCGTAGACACTCCCGGGCTGGCCACGTAACGCAGATATCAGCGACGCAGCAGTTTCTCGGCATCTCACACCCTGATGCGGGAGAAACTCCTCATGAAGAAACACCAAGGTAGCGACACACAAAATAATCTCCGGGGCGTACACGGGACATTCGACAATTTTCCTTTTTTCTGCGTTTCCCTTCATTTTCCCACACCCAACCTCCGTCGATAACCTACAGAGGACGGGAACCTTATGCACCACATGATGGACCAAGGCACGAGCCTGTGGATGCAGAAAGAAGTCATGGTTGCTGGGGGAGCCGCTAGGGAACACCTCATGTGAGTCCTGGCAATCCTGGTCGACCTATGCCGTAAGTGTCTATGGACCACCCATCACTCTTAACAGTTGTCTGACTTTTGAAAGAGCTGGAATTGTGTGTTGCTGTCGAGGTTAAGTCTTCGAATCGAATGGAAACACCGGCCACACCAGGGATATGGCCATCCCTCGCGACTGAGAAGAAGAATACGGGACTGCGTCTTCATCCGTCCCATGCTTCCATGCGACCGGACTCCGCAGAGAACTCAGGCATGGTATCCATCCCAGTCTAACCTTGACTTTGACCCGTGCACGCTCAAACGGACCTGCTCACTACGGTAGACTACGGTACCTTTGCGTGGTTTGGGTACTTGTCTTTGTTTTTGTTCTAAAAGGACGAGACTTAAGAACATGTCTTATGTTTGCTCCTGTCACTTGCTTTTGCGCATGAAGATCGATTGTCGACCTCAAGGTGACTGCCCTCGAGAAGACCTCCGGCAAGAAGACTGCAAACGACCTCATGCAAGCTGCGGAAGCGGAAGCCGACCTTCCCACCATATCTCTCTCGTGCGGGTCGGGGGCAATGTTCCGCATCAACGGCAAGGGGCACCTGATGCACAAGGACAAGTGAGTTGTTGCCTGTGGTATTGTTCCGCTCTGTTGGTACGATTTCGGAACTCTTCGCACATACTCGCATTGTTACAATGTTAGCAAGGCCATCCCACGGCGGGGATTCTCAGCCTGAGAGAGAGGAGCTGGGACCGGGTCGCAAGTAAGCTAGCGGGGCCGTGACTGGACGAGATGAGCCAGGTAGTTCGAGTCCTTCATAGGGTCCGAGACGATAAGACAGTATAGGGTGGGTTTCGACATGATCTCCGCACGTATCGTGTAACGTATGCCCTACTAGTCTCTCTCTCTCTCTCTCTCTCTCTCTCTCTCTCTCTCTCTCTCTCTCTCTCTCTCTTTTCCCGTCTCAATTGGGAGCCGCACTTCGATCGCGCCATACCTGTCGTGCGTGTGCATCATTGTTTCTGTCTCTGGAGCCCTAGTGACGCCACATTCCCCGCTTCCTTCTTCCAAACGTGACGCTCCGGCTTGTTGCATCCATCCGTGGTGTGTATCCAGGAAAGTTGAAGTTCGTCCGAACATGAGTGGCTTGGTGCGAATCGGCCAGTTCGTGGATTCCTTCAGCGTGCCTCACGTGACGATCCGGATGCCAGGCTTGGACAGGCCTCTGGAGATCATGTGCGGCAACATCTTGACCAAGAAGCTAGAGAAAATGGATGCGTCTGCCTTGAAAGGCGCCAAGTCCCGCGATGCCATGGGAGACGACGCCGAGAGGTGATTCGCTAATTGTCTACCTGTACATTGGCGTGGAAACCGTACTGCCACCAAGAACCCACGCTAACTCTTACGATTTACGTAGTGTGTGTGTTTGGATGCGCTACAATCCCGTAGTCGAATCTGGAAGGAGGCCGTACAAGCGCGTCAACGCCGGAAACTTGGACGCAGTGTTGCAGGCGTTCCTTGTTGCCCTTGCATCATCGAAACTTCAAACGAAACTACAGAATAATCGGGCAGTCAGACACGAGATGGCTTGGAAATGGAGGCGGTATCTGCTGTTCACATCTCATGGGAAAGGTTCTCCCGGCGCACGTAATCCTGTTTCGAAGGCATACGTGCAATCACACGTAATTCCGTAGAGATTACGCCGCGGAGTGACGTGTCACCCGAGGAATACCCATGGGAAACACGCACGTTGCTTCTTGTCGCTGATGATGGCCGTTAGACTCACGTCCTGTCGCCACCTCGTCCCTCCTCGTTCGTTTCAACGCCGTACCCAACGATCGACCACCAGCTTGATCGACGACCCCGACGATGGTGACTTGAACGACTTCGTTGACGCGGTCGCCCAGCTCGCGAAGGGGTTCAAAGTCCTGTCTCCGACCGAATTTCCGAAGAAAAACGTGAGCAACCCGTCTTGCAAATGCAAGGCAAAACCCCACGAGAAAACGCTTAGGATCACTGTCAGAATACAACACTTGTTGCTCTCGAAATGCAACGTACGCTACACCCTTGGTGGCGCTGCTCCCACTTTCATCTCTGTGTGGAACTCCTGCATGTGCACCAAAATCAACATTTCCACCGTGTACCCGTAGCCGTAAACTCTTGGCCTTGCTGTCGCCTTACTTTAGGATGTGGACGGCATCTTCCGCCTGACCGGCCGAGCTTTCAACGAAGAGAACCAGTTCGTCGCTTTCGTTGACGAGGGTCCCGCTTTCGAGGAGGAGGAAGTCGGCGATGGCCCTCCATCTCCCGGCGGCGCCCCCAGTCCCCGCCAAGGCGGAGCTGGCGCCGAGCCCATCGGCGGCGAACTGAAAGAGGTGAGAAGTGGTAAGGAGAACCGGCTTGGTGTATGTCAGAACGACGCACTCCTGCCTTGGCAACCCGTGCCTCTGGCTTGCTCATTGGTGCCCAACTGGGGCAACTCGTTGAAGGGGTACAGCAGTATACAGTGTTGGTGGGTGGTCGCGTAATACGTTTGCTCGGTTGTTGGGGACGAATCACGTCGATACGTCTTTCATGCAACAGGTTGGTCGTCTTCGCTATCGGTTTCAACCACAATATGTCTCGATGTTTTATCCAACAGTTGGTAAGAACAATTGCCTCGAACCATCCTTGCTGCCACCCATTCTCTCGTTTTCGGTGCGTTTTCGTCACATTCTGCCGTGGGTTGTCTTTTCACTCGAACACTGCCTGCCCTGGTCCTCTGGGCACGTTCGAAACATTATCGTTCTTCTCGCATAGTATCCATCTTCCTACCGCTTTCGCCTTCGTCCCTACCCGACCCTAAGATGGCCACCCCGCAGAGGCGCACCTCGGTTTTCCGAGGCGATTCCGCATTACACGGGCGCAGACCGGTAGTCAGGCGTTTCACCAAGCACCGTTGCGCTCCTGACCCGTTCGGCATGGGACACCTGGGCGTCGAGCGTGTGCGCCGCGTCGAATGCCGGGTACGTGGTAGATATTCCACTCATGCTTGCCTCTGTTAACGCCTCGCCTGTGTGCCTGTACAGTCGTATTATCGATCTTCTAACGCGCCTTGCGCATGACGTCAGTCGTATGGCGTACCCGTGGTGTGCTAGTTGGCTGTGTGCGACCAAATCCGTACGATATCTCCACCCGGGTAGCTTCAATCTCACGTAACGTGTATTTCCGCACATACGTTTTGACTCTATGTCGTCGTTGGATCTCCCCCCTCAATCGTTTCTCTGACCCTCAGAACATGGGAAACCTCGCCAAGAAGGCCAGAGAAAACGCTGACGAGGCCATTTACGAGACGAAGAAGCACGCGGCCGAGTCACTCAAGTAAGAGCATGAAGAGAATATCAGGAATCCTTATGTTTTGATCCCACCAGTTTTGCGCTTTGTGCTCTGAAATCGTGCATCTGTTGTTCGGCTCGTTTGTGCCTTCACGCCCTAAATTAACCCGTCGGTATTGATTCAATTTCGCCGTGGTGTGATGATGATACGCCGCACACCATGGATGTCTCCAGCTACGTCTCCCCGAAACAAGACATTGTCGGTTGCTGGTCCTTGGTCCTGCCGAGCGCATGTTGGGGGAGCGTGGGACATACGTCGCTGTATCGCCCTGCACATCTCCATTCCCTACTGGCCGCACTAGTGTCGGCGTTGGAGCTATGATAACAAGAATTTTGTCCTCCCCTGACAGAAAGACAGAGAGCGTTGTCTAAGGAAAACGATATGTTTGAACATTCACACGACAACATTCCAGGGCCAAGCTGAGCAACGCGGAGCGTGCTCAAGAGCAGGCCACGGAGTACGCTGCCGAGGCCACGAAGTGGGCTGGGGAGGCAAAGCAGGCGGCGGAAGCGGTTCGTTGGACGCAAGCCGCAGTCGAAGCGGCGGAGGCGGCGGTCAAAGCATCCGAGGAGGTGGAGATGAAAGCTTCACAAGACATCGGAGAGATGAAAGCTGCACAAGCTTTTGGGGCGAGGAAAGCTTCGCAAGAGTCACAGGTGGACATTATCCTTGGAGTGGAAGGTCCGGACGAGGAAGCGGCGAGGGCGATGGAAGCAGCGGCACGAGCGGTAGAAGCGGCCGGAGTTGCGCAACAGACGTCGGAGCAGGCGAAGGCCATGGAGCGGGGGCAAGGCTCGGACGGTCAACTGGTCGACGTCGGTGATTTCGAAGCTGGCGGATTCTTGTGAGTGGTAGAATAGAATGAAAATAGCCCGCCTTCCCATAAGTCGATGTATGCTGCAGAGAGGAGCGGTGCATGGTTGAGATGTAGGGTTGCTGGGAGATCGCAGTTCCAAGCTTCTGGGCCTCTGCAGCGTTTGTACCGACTAATTGTTGTGCTTGCGTCGTGTTTGTTGATGTGGTACACGTGACCAGATCGGCCGAGTACTCCAGCGGCCGTTTCTTTGGCCCCGTGGCGAAGAAGCTGTGGCTAGCGGCAGAGGCCAAGCGGGCGGGAGCACGCCCTGGGCGTGACTCGTCATACCTGCCAGTACGTGCGGGGCACGGACAGTCGCCGGCTTGGCCTGGCCGCTCGCCGGGTTATCCTGGCCGCTCGCCGGCTATTGCTGCCCGTTACAGGCGACCGGCTGCAAGCACCCCCGCACACTCTGATGTGGTCGAAGCCGTAGAAGCAGCAGGACAGGCTGTGGAAGCTGCGGCCCAAGCGATGGAGAGAGCGGAACAAGCGAAAGAAGCCCTGGGCGAGGACACGGGAGAGCCAGAGCGCAGAGATGATGCTGGCGACCTCAACCCCCGGGAGTACGGGTGAGCACTACGGCGACAATCCAACGGTTGGCTGAACTCGTGAGATGGCGTCCGTTGCCCCGCCATGTCCGCGGCCCTTCGATGCTAACATGTCTGATAACTCACTTTTTTTCTATTCGTGCGCCATATGCCCTGATCAACCTGTGGTATTCCTGACAGGTCGGCGGAGTCCTCCAACAAGGGTTTCTTTGATTCCATCGCCAAAGAACTTCGGGAGTTGGCAGACGAAGCCAAGCGGGAGGCTGAGAAAGAAGCTGCGCAGGCTGCACATGGGTGGGTGGATTGGATGCTGCTTAGCGGGGACATGGTTTCGTTAGATACACAAGAGAAACCCGCGCATATAAATATGCATAGGCCTCATCAACAGTAGGTCATTCAACGGATCACATCGATACCATTCAACGTTGCGAATCGTAGGAGAACGTTCGCAACGTGTTCACCCGACGGACCGCGAATGATGTTGTTGGCAATGCGCTCAGGCCGCCTGGGTACACAAGCAGCGGGCTGTTTGACACCATGGACGCTGGGATACCGACAAGACGCCCAATCACGGACACTACAGCTGAGTGCCTTAAGGAGCCAAAGTGGGAGGCAGTCAGGCAGGAAGCCGAGAAAACGGCCATGGAGGCCACCCGGCTTGTGAAGGCAGCCCAAACGGCGGCCTTTGAACTCAAAGCAGTCGAGGAGGTGGAGGTCGCGGAAGCTCTAGACTCCGAAGAAGACGAAGAGGAGGATCACATCGACGGCGATTACGGTGCCTACGGGTGAGTTTGGAGATGCCCCTCCCGCGCAGCCAAAGCGTCGTCAGTTGAGACCCACGTTCCTTCGAAAGATCGAAGAACAATCACCCCCCCCTTCCCCCGAGGGTCTCTTGTTGGATATGGTGGCCTGCGTTGATCGAACCCCATGTGCCTCCCCTCGACAGGTCGACAGAGTATACTAGCAGGAAGTTCGGCGACCGGATCAAGAAAGCAACCAAGAAGGTCAAGTCCGGCGTCCAGAACGCGGCGAAAAAGACAAAGCAGGCGGCTCAGACCGCCGCCCGAAAGGCCGAGGAGGCAGCTAAACAGGCGAGATCATGTGTTCATAAGCTGTTTCTGCACAGCAGGTGTTGTGGCTGGTGTTTTCAACGATAAAAGTCGTTCCGTTCTCTCCTCAGTAACTTTAGCCTAGACATCTACCAGTCCAACTCGCGCGGACGCCTTCCGTGGCCACAATTCGATTTCCCGAAATTTGGTGCAGGTAAGGTAAGTAGTATCACCGCGAACGCGAAAACAGCGCAAAAACCAAACCGATAGCCAGTACTCAGACGTCGCTGGTGACATATCGCGCAAAGGAGATGCGTAACTATATATATATCATTGGATGAGAAGGCAACTGAAGTAGCGATAATCATCATTGTGAACGGGTTTTCATTGGCACTACCGCAGGCGAAGCGGGAGGCAGAGAGAATTGCCAAGGATGCCGCGCGCAAAGCAGAAGCAGCGGCCCTCAAGGCCAAGAGGGAAGCGGAGAAGTCCGCCAAGGCCGTGGCTCAAGCCGCCAAAGAAGTAAAGAAGGCGGGGGAGCTTGTGGCGAAAGAGGTGATTCGGACAATCGACATGCTGCACATATATACAGCGGGGTCAAGTACTACGAACTTAGGGGAGCTGTAAAACAGTTGACCATACGCACATGACACAGCATCGCCGAAAACCGGTGAACGGGACCGATGTATTGATTGTATTCGAGTTGCGAAGTACAGGTCGGGCGCGTCAGTTCATTCTACGGAGAGATGCACCCCCCGTCCTCCCCACCTCGCCGTGTTGTATGTTATGATAAGCACTGAGAGAGTCTTTCCGCCCCGAAAGAAAACCGACAGACTTTCTTGTTCACGGTGGTCTACTGGTATACATTTGTCCCCCAACAGGTGGCAGACAAGGCGCAGATAGCGGCGGCTGCGGCGAAGCAGGCCGCGGAAGGTGCGGCGAAGCTGGCAGAGAACGCTGTGAACGAGGTGGGAGATGTGGCAGGTGACATAAAGGACGGTGTCGAGGATGCGGCGGACAAAGTGAAGGACGGGGTCGTGCACGCTGCCGACAAGGTGCGAAACGCTGTGCATGTTTACGCCTGTTTACCTTTCTTGTGCTCCATTGAGAGGCCTAGACAGAGTAGATCACGTGGGCAAAGTATTTACACAACCCGTCGTCAGAGCAAGGGGCCGGCAGTTACGACAAGTCTTGCCTCGCCGAGTAATACGGCTCCCAATCAAGGCAGGTTCTGCGGGAGTACACTCGAACGTCCGAACCGCTTGGTTCGTTGGTTAGGCAAGCATTCATTCCCAGAAGATGTCCCGAAGGTTTCCCTGCTTGGCGATGCGCGCGTGAGTGCGGTTCCTAACGCAGAAATTTACGATTCTGAACCCCCTTTTTTCTATCCAATGGAAAAGGTTAAGGACGTCGCCAAGGACGCCGCCGAGGTCGTGGGCGATGTTACCATGAAGATGGTCGACGTGGTGGAAGAGGTGGTCGAGGAGGTGAGATGCAGTCAAAATTAGACGTACATCCTATGCGCAGCAGACGGCCTCATCCACGGGATAAGTTAGTGGATATCGAAGAGCCACGATGTTGCAAATGGTTTAGGTCTGGTGCACGGCACCAGCGCCTCCCCTCAAGTCGATGTAGTTGTGAAATCCAGGTTGGCGACAATTGCCGCTCTCGGATGTCTGCGTTTTGTGTTCTGCCCCACCACGACCGTGTTTGGTCCTGTACTGCTTGCCAGCTCGTATTCGTTCGAAGCCTGAATGACGGCGGTTGGTTGGATCATTGTGATCAACGATGTGGACCCCCCGCCGATTCGCGTCCCATCGAATGTGCTTCTTTTCTTGCGGGCACTCAGGTGTGGGAGCACACTCCGGAGGGGCTGAAGAAGGTGGCCAGGAAAGTAGCGGTGAGCTATCTCCTCGTGGCATTGGAAATGTGTTCCATTTCGACAACGACAATCCTGTCATTTTTTCAAGGCGTTACTCTTCTACAAACTCATTTGAAGTACCCGTTGCTGATGATGGTCCACTTCGGACGTCATCCAGTACGACTCGGCGTATGTGGACATCATGACCGATTGAACACTTCATCCCCTTATCTCGAGTTTTTCAGGATTTGAGGAAGGCGAATGAGTGAAAGAGTTTGGTATGTGCTCAAAGCCAAGATACAAGACCTTGATCAGTGCAACCCATCCATAGAACACATGCAACTGATTTCGAACGGTCCCATTTCCCTACCCCGGCGCTTCTTGCTTTGTGCCAACCCTTCCAGAAAGTTGTCAAGAAGGGGGTGGACTTTGTGGTGAAGATCGGCAAGGTGGTGTATCACTTCGTCGAAACCAAGCTCGAGCAGCTCGTCAAGGCTCTCGACTGGCTGTGGGACAAAATCAAGGTTTGGACGAGTACGGGTCGCGGCAGAGGCGACGCAAAATGAAACACTGTACTCCATCGCATGGACCATGTCTTTAGGCGGGAGTGCAAGATGTATGCACGTGGGTCAAGCGGCCTTGGGAACTGGAAATATAGTCCGGGTCGGCTCCACAGGTCGGCTCCCTAGACACTCATGCGTACTGTAGACGCACTCATGTTCAGACACCTCCCGACGACATGCGGGCGGATATAGGTGAGGAAGTAGGCAACAACTGATCGATACTTTTGGCATGTTCGTTCCGCCCGAGAAAAAGCTCGAACAGCCGCTGCCCAACACAACTGAGTTGAACACTACCAACCGTCCTGTGTATGTGGACATTCCCGTGGCGAACGAACAGACGGGTATCATGAAGGCTATCGAATGGCTCGCCAGTTTCTTCAAGTACAAAGAGATTTTGAAGACCGCCGAGATACTGGAAGCCGGGGCGATTTACGGGATCGACCAGTTCATCGCCACGATTCCCTCTGAGGACGCCGTCAAGGAGTTCTTCAACGACCTTCGTCTCATGTTGGAGAGGAAGACGTGAGCGAACACCTCCCGTTATCAATACTTGTTTTGCAACCATGAGGCGGTACTAATGCTGTGTGCTGTGGAAGAGAAGAAGGCTGTCGAGGCTGCACCGTAGGTGTCACCCGGGGCTCACATCGGCCATGAACCTGCGCATCATCTCCCCATACCCATACCGTCTTTGCTTCGTAAAGATCACCTTGGCTCGGTCCTCGGAGGATTGGTTCTATGTTCGAGCGCCAGCAGTGAAAATCCCATGCGCCATCCCTAAACCAGAAACCTAAACCCAGCGCGATACCTACCAAACCTGAGCTTTGGAACCGGTTACATTTCTGTGAGGAGGCGCCGTAGTTCACAGCGGCCCGGATCATCCATTCTTGGCTTGTTCCGTTCCTTACGTTTCTGGCGACACTGCTTACTGTCGTGGCTATCCTGCAGCGGTCTTGACCTCGACGCCCAGGACATGAGCACGGAGGACACGACGCCGGACGACCGCGAGGTCGATCCCAAGGAAAATTTCGTTCAACACCACAGCACGTGCGGCACCTTCGAAGGGGCAGGGACCCCCGCTGATGCGAAAGGTGGGTTGACGACGGGATCCATCTCGTGCGTGCTCACCGACGTTGCGGGCAAGAAACCACCCAAACCTTATGAAACAGGAAGGCTTCCTGATGCGGCTTGGAGATCTCCCGTGTTGACAGTCAGTCAGTGTGCGCTTTTTTGCTGGATATTCCGTCGTGCGTGTTGATTGGGTCGACGTTGTGTGCTGCTCGGAGCCCCATATGACCAAGCAACCTTGAATTCCACACTCAACGTCGAACGTCAGCCCACCCTAGAGTCGCCAACCGTGCCGCAATCCCCACCCCACCGTACACGCTTGTGTCGAGCAGATGACTCGAAAGACCAGGAAAAAGCGTCAGAAGACAGCGATGATGACGACCCGGGCATGGATACCGTGGCGGAGAAGCTCAACTACTTGTACGAGAAACTCAAAGAGGGCTTGAACGCCTTTATGTCCGCGCTGGCTGAAGGCATCGTCGATCTGCTGGAGGTACGTTGGATACTCTCGGGGAGAGGGGGTGGGTGATGGCAACCTTCGGAGCCCCCGCGCCTCGTGCTAGACCTGTAAGCAGTGGAGGGAATTCCTATGTGCGCGTCACTACGGGATTGATTGCGTGGAAGCAAGCAGTAGGAGGAAAGAGGAGCCCATGTCTCGCACCTTCGTTCGTTTTGGGCAACGATCCCTGGTGCAGGAAACCCTTGTGTTGCCACCGCTACAGGAAATCATTCCTCATGCCGATGTTTATTTACACGTCGCACAGGGTGGCACACAGCTAATGGTAAAGATCCTGAAGTTCGTAGCGAAGAAGTTCCGCGACTGGCTCGCCGACGGGGGGCCAATATACATCCCGATCATCAGCGAGATCTACAAGCTCATCACGGGGCGCAAACTCAAGCTCGCCAAGGCGTTGTTCTTCATATTTGCGATCCCCGTAACATACATGGCCAAGGCAGTTCTAGGGAAATGGCCATCGCAAATGGTCTCGGTCGACCAATTGACCGGCGCCAAAGGCAACACCTTGTCAATCGCTGGCCAGGCGCCCGACTCTACCGACGCAGGTTAGAAGAAACGAGCTGGTGTCGTTCTGTGAGCAGCCATCAATAGTTGTACTTGTCCTCGTCAAGGAAGGAAGGGCTTGACTTTCGGTCCACATTGGAACAATTGTCGCTGGTTCGACCACTTCCGAGCTTTTTTCAACCTTCCCTGCTATTGTCTTCCGTGCATATTGTATTGTACAGCACGTGCGGCACTAAGCTTTGGACAACTCCCACGCACCTCAATCCTTTCCCTGACAGGTGCTCCAGCGCATCTGACTAGGGCCCTTCCTGGCGATGACAGCAGCAGGTAACAGCGCTTGCTTGGAGGGTTGTGTTTCATTGCTGCCCCGTGACTAAAAGGGGCACCAGGTCGAGTGAGGAATTAATTCTCACTAGACGAAACGTAGTAGAAGGATGAGCGATGTGAGGATTTGCTGTGCCACCCGTTGACCAGCCCCTGCCGGTGGAGGAAATCTGGCGATTAACAATGGTCCACGCCTTTGGTGCAACAAGCAAACGGACATGGTATTGTTGGCACCACTATTCACCCCAAGCAGTCCCCTCAGAGTATGAACTATCTGAATAGGCTGCTTCCTTGTCCGCGCGGCACTTGCAGCGAGTTCGTCTACACATCAAGGTCGGGTGAATCCGAAGAGAAGCCTGGGACTGATGCCCAGAAAAGTATTTGGGCCATTCTGAAGATTGCCTCCATCGCCATCTCCGGCGTCACGATACCATGCCAAGGTGATGGAACGTTTGCTGACTGGTTGTGCTTCATCGCATCAAGCAGCAACATTGTGCGTCCTTAGGTATCTTTCGTGAGCTAGATATAGCAACGACATGTTCCGCTAAGACGTATGCTGGCTCCCAAGAGGGTTATCTGTGTAGCCCGTTGTACAGTAGTCCTGGGTGTGAGTGGATGCCGCTGACGCTTTCGTGCTGAATCGTCTCGCTGCGGTGTTGGGGGCGTTCACTGCCGTTTCGTATCGCAGCAATGATCGACATCACCAAGATTCCCGCGGGGGACCGTAATTTCTTGACGAATCGCTTCAAGAAGTCGCACCCCATCTTCAAGATAATCAGCTACGGCAGGGCACTCCAGAAGATCTTGAACCTCGCATCAACCATGGTGTACGTTGGTGACTATTTCACCGGCCCGAAAACGCCGTTGAAGAGGTGAGACAACTGTTTTCCGGTCGGGTGTGGCTGTCCATGATATATTTCCCCGGCTCGCGTCGAGGAGTAGACTTGGTTTGTAATCCGGGGGGGAATCGAAAAACGTTCAACGCTTGGCAAGCGATTTCCTCATACTACCGAGTCTTCGGTATTCGAAAGTCTTCGATCCGTTGCTCAAAATGTTGCAGGTTACGGTAAGCCTTAGTTCGTATGCTGTAGTTGGTGTTGAGCATGCTGACAACACCGGAGACCTGATTCGAGAAGCTGACCTCTAGAAAACCCGCTTCCCTGTTGCTTTCGCCCCTGCAGGAAGGACAAAGCGTTCTTCTCATTCTTGACCATGTTCGACGCGGCCGGCGTATTAGTCAGCCTGAAGGTGGACGGAGGGCAGGCGTCAGAGCCAGGAGCAGGGGGGTTGGTCAACATGAACGCAACGGAGGGGGGGCAAACGCCAAATAACGCGTAAGCAAGCGGACGAGACGAGTCATTTTGTTGTGGTTGAGGTTTTTTCGGGTCACTGTCGAAGCAAGGCGGCTTTACTCCCTATTTGTTTAGATGGACGGCATCGGCCAGACTCGCTCTCTCCTATCATAGCTGTTTCTGCGACGTAAGTCAAGTCGCTGTGTAATGAATGAACGTTGAGAGTATCGACCACACATGAACCTGTAGCAAATAGCGTTGTTAGAGAACCAGCATCAACGGATCAAAAACTGCTCCCGGTATTCGCGCTGTCACAGTCGCACCCTGCCGTACTGGTTTCATTTCTGGCATGGTATTGAGCGTTCAGCCGAACGCTTACTACACGAGCCCCCCCTTCCCTTCCCAAGCCTGCATGTCCTAGGCCAACGGTTTCCTGTGCCTTGGGTTCCCTCTGCTTTCACCCTTCCCCTCCAGAACTGTCCCGGCGATTATTTTCGACATGGCCGACGGTATCGCTGAGATCGCGAAGGGGAGCAGGTTGATCGCGCTTGCAAACGAGCTCGACGAGGGCGGCCGCCAGGAAAGAACGATGAAGTTTCAAGGTGATGTGTTTAGTTTATCCCTTTGCCGTGCTTGGTTGTGAGGGTGTTTGACAGAGGTGCTGTCCCTGAAGGAGCCAACTACCCGAGTCGATTGGGCTGGTGACGACTTGACGAGAAATGCCTGTACTCTGACCAGGGATCCGGCCATCAAGCCAACGTACTGTAGCTGGATGCTCCTGTATGATTCGACCGATCATTTTGGGGTGTACCGCCACACACGAAGGCGAGATTCAGAAATGCAGATATAACAGTAGTCTAATCAGATGATATCGGCTCTGAGACCAAACAACAACACCCTTCTACACAGGTTCTCACGGGATCTTCAAGGGAGCCAGTCAGATGGCCACGGCGTTTGGGAAGCAGATCGTAAAATCGCCAGCCGATCCTGCCACCAAGGTCGCGGTGATAATTGTTGCTGCCGGCCTCAAGTGGATAACAAAGGTCCCCCTGGGCATGGCATCAGTGGTGCTGCAGCTCGAAGGCTCTGCTGAGGGTAAAGATGAGGACAAAGATCTGAAAAACAACGCCTACTGGATCGCCTGTTTCGCCTACCTGTGAGGTGCTTGCACTCAAATCGGGTGGAGAAGTGCTGAAGGGCGCAGGGGGCAACGAATGGGTGTTGCAGAAGCGAGGCCGTCTTCCTTGAGCGTCGAACTGGCGATGCGTAAACAAGACGAGTTGCTATAGCTTGGTGCGCCTACGAGATCGGCTGTCGTATGGGATGGAGCGGCCGTCGCTGACCTTTGTGCCTGAAGGCTGTATGGACAGACAAGCATCCGGTAGCTTTTCTATGCCTCCTTGTACTTGCTTTCTCCAGCCCGTCTGCTTCGTTCCCTCCCCTCTGATCTATGGCGACTCATTTTGTCAAGGGAAGTCGCTCGCCGTGTGCGTCGCTTGTATATTCCGGTTGCCGTGTCTCCGCGATGGGACGTCCGGCGTGGGTCTGTCTGGTTCCAATTATGTTTCTTCCATCAGTCGGGACGAGATACTGCTGTGATTGAGTCCTGAACGGTTTGGTTGGACGTTTTTTCCGTCCGCGATTGCCCGGACCACAGAGTAGACAAAACCTACAGTAGTTTGTTGCACGCGTGCGTGTTCTGTCTTCTGGTCATGGAGAATGACTGCCCAACGATACGTTGTCGTTGGCGCGCGTTCATGTCTGAAAATGTTGAAAATGGTGGTTCTCTCTCTAGTTCTTCACAATCTTTGTGGTGGATGTTTGGCCGGCAACACACAGACTGAGCTGAGATTGCCTTCTCTTGTTTTTTTTCTTGACAGCCGCGCCCGCCCGTACTCCTTAGCCGTAAACCCTCTCTCTCGGTCGTGCTTGCTTGTTGTTTATTCTGTCCCTACTTTCTGAGACAACCAACTGCGCAGTAACGACTTCTTACGTCAGTCAGTGAGATGGACTCAAACTTCTTCTTCGCTTGAAAAGGTTTTGTACTTTACACAACAGCTGTGACCTACCAATGACTGACTGCTGCCTGTTCTCTCACGGCGGTGTGCCTATTGACATACCTGGTGTATATTTGAGAGCGAGAGAAAGCAGTAGTACAGCGGTAGCAGTTTCATACAAATATATCAAGGCGTCGTTCGGCCTGGTTCCGCAACAACAAAAAAGTCAGACATGGTGTCGTTTGTTGGTTCTCTCAACCAAAGAACATGAATGCCGACGCCGCGCGAGCGACCCGCCCCAGCCACACTCACACGCTCGAATGCGTATGAATGCACGGAAGGAATGGCTCGGAAGCAGAATCAGACATTGCCGCGCATTGCCGGGATATTTAAACATCAATTGTTGTGCAGCAGAAGGGAGAGCGTGGGAGGGCGAAAGATGGTGGACGGAGCGACGGCAAGGCGATCGGCGGGGCGATAATTAACGACGAAATAATAACTAAAGGAAGACCAGCCTAAGCTACAACATAGACTAGATAGCGAGCGGTTGTCACAACTCCATGCATGCATGCTACACCAATCTCATCCGGTGGATATCGTTGCTGTTGTGATCATTGATCGTGTGGATGCCGTTCCGTTTTTGCTGTTTTTGTTGGAGATCCATACAACAATAACAAGTGCACGGGTTCACAGCGATCGAAAGAGGGTTATTGGGACGGGCCGGCAGCTAATAAACGTCAAGGTCGGGTCACGGTGCAACCTCTGATTTCGGCCCAAGAATACGACCGAGTCCCCCTTTGGTAAAATATTAATATGCGGGGTTGTGTTTTCGCAGATTCCCCATCCCTTCCCTTCCCCCCTTCCCTTCCCTTGGGACAAATAGCACCGACCGAAGCTGCTCCAGAAGCGAGAATGGAGTGCACCTCAGCCTCTCTCTGTGATCGACGATGTAATGCACCACTCAGACCTACCACACCGCTTGGTTGTCTTTCTCCTCACTCAAAAGGAATCTCGCATTCCCACACACACAGCTGCACAGGCAGACCTCGCGGAGTACTATTTTGTTGCCGCTTTCCGGCGATTGTTGATTTTCATCGAGGGGGGGGGGCGTGAAGTAGAAATCAGACCCCCTACCACGATTTGCATTCACGGAGCACCACGTTTGTTTCTGAAAATATATGTGTCTTTACAGGTGGTATATCACCATTGCAGGGTATACACTCAGAAATCCACATGCATGCGCCCCAGGCAGCCAGCTGATTGGCCGAAGTACCATCGACTTCTGTAGGTACCTTTGTCGGGTACAACTGCCGCTGGTATCTCGACCCTCTGGTATAATCGATGCGGGTTACCATTGTACCCGGAAGGGGTCGATTTTGTACCCAGAAGTGGTCATATAATCCTTGCGCCCGACGACTCGAAAACCCGCAGAAAAACCATCTACAGCGCATACCCGGACGACACACCATGTACCGCACATACCCCACGCACATCAGCAGTAGTACTACACAACCAAACCACCAACGCTCGTTGATGGGCTCCGCATCCCGAGCATACCTATCTCCGACAGCCTCCTCCTCCTCCGTAGATCGCGGCGAAACCAAACGACTGTGTCCTGTGCCTCTCTGTCAGCACCACCACGAGCGACCTCGTGCGTCGAGCGAGTTCGACCGTCTGTCGAAGGGCCCACGAGTCGAAAATACGAGAAAGTACATGGTGTGTTGTGCGGGTATGTATGCGCGGACACCGTTTTTCCTGCGGGTTTTCGAGTCGTCGGGCGCGAGGATGATGACCTTTTCTGGGTACAAAACCGAGCCCGTCCGCGTACACCAGTAACCAACATCGGTTGCACAGGGGGGTCTCGAGATGCCGCTGGCTACCTGGGGGTACCTGGGGTGCATGTATTTTGATTGCTGAGTGTACCATGAAAATGGTGACATTCCACCTGGGTTACCCGTTTCTGGTTACTGCTCTTGAAGAAACAAGAACCCGCCGTTGTGGTGTACCAATGCGAATACAGACAAGAACGGAGCCCCCAATGCATGGCGGCAGCAAGACAAGCACTCAGGATGGAGGGGGGTGCCCCCACAGTTACTTTCAGATTTTGATTGGGGCGGGAAGGGAACTCGTAAAATAATGCTTGTACGTGCGGAGGGGGGGTACTGAAAGCCGTGCATTTCGTAGCCAATAAACCGTTGACCTTGCATCCCTACAAAACTGGGACGGAGTACACCTGGTTCTCACTGGACCAGGCGCTCAAGTAACCAAGCGCGAAGCGCCGTGGGGTATTTGGCGAGTCGCATGGAGGGTCCCAATCGAGGGGGGGGGGGGGCGTACTCATGATTTGCATGCATGCCTTCGCTGTTAGACCGTTGACCACGTGTCCTCGAGAGGAATGAGCACTGTTCAGGATCGATTAAAATGGCTCATTGTTCCTTCCTAGTTTGCCAAAGGTGGCTCAAAAACGTTCCTGGCTGTCTATCCTATCGGCATCACTTCCCCGCCTTTTCAGCCCACTCCCTATGCCCTACAGCTATCTATCTACGTTTCGCAGCTCAGACGTGCATTTTTCTCCCTCCTAGTCGTACGACGGACATTCCGCAACTACATGAACCCTTTCATTGCACTTGGGACGCCCGGTTTTTCCATGGTTAAACACGCCATTGTACTTTTAGGGGCACACGTTGAAATCCACCCAAGAAGGTCTCTAGTGTGTGCTTTGCGTGGGGCAGTCAGCGTTCAAGTAGGAACAAGAACCCGTTAATCCTAGGTGGGTTCCTGCTCAAAATAGGAACTTGGAGAATAACGGCATGGGCTCGGTTTGAGGCAGTCAACAAGCATCAAGCCTCACTCAACGTAAGCGGTTTCAAGCGGTGGCGTCTTCTGTAAGAAATGCCATTTTTCTTCTCTTTGGCTGAGATCCATGTTAGCTGAAAAGCCCTTTCGTGTATGGGCATGAACCTCCAGGCTGTTATACATGCAGTCTCCCTGTGTATATTGGGAACCATTCAAGACAAACATATTATTTTGCGGGGGGTGGCTGCTCCTTCCGCCTCTGCAGCTTGGCACAGGGTGTCAGCCAAGCACACACATCAACCAGACTACGAAAACAGCAACAACCGCAGCAGCAAATCCAGAATAGAGGGCGACGGCACCACCATCAACGGCATCATGATCGATGCTCCGGAACAGGACAACAGTGGCGACCCTGCTGGGGTGAGGAAGTTGCGAAGGGTTCATATTTCTAGCGTAGCTGTTGTGCCGTGTTTTTCGGAAAACGGTTGTCTTCCTTTAGTCGTTGGCTCTCCCTTCCGGCTACTTGACTTCCATGCGAAAGGCTTTCAAGATGGGCCCATGAAGGGTGCCTAACGGGATGAGGGTGCGCAAGTACACGTGAGACAAGACTGGAAATATTTTGAACAAAAAAGTGTGGGGTGTTGTTCTTTCACGTCTGTCTTTCCTGCAGCAGGTCCTGTCGCATATGCATACACTTCTCGATGTCGGACGCCGTCATTGTCTATGCGTGTGCTTGCCGGCCATCTCGAGACCCTTCTCCTGGCGAAAGGTGAAATCCGTGTAGACTACAAGTACAAGTATGCCGCGCAAGGAAGGAAGGGCACAGCAGGCACGGCACGAAAGGGGCGACATACAAGAGACATTTTTTATCAAGACTGGCAACCCCTTAGACCACACCTAGTCTAAAGTAAGTTGGGATCTGACGCTGGTGCGTGTAACAACAGGCGTGTTTGCAGGTTTTGGCTGTTGTTGTATTTCTTGTTTTTTTTCCATTGACCTTTGTCGCTGGCAGTTTCCGGCGACTTGGCATGGGCCTCCCTGCTCTGCTGACGAGGCACGATCCGGGGTATCTCACAAGAAACCTTCTCGGCGACACATACCTTCCTGACTTATTCTCCAGAACGGCTAACAACCATCTCTCTCTCGAGCAATAATCTGAAGTCGAACGCTCTGTATTCCCGGACGGTAATCTCGAACAAGGCACCACTCACACCGACGGGCTTGAAAGGTCATGAACTTGATCACCCAAAATACAATCCAACCCCAACCCGACCGACTGACCGACCGATCGACCGACCAAACCCACACCCCAACCCAGCCCAACCCCACAACACAAAACCCGACCAATCGACCGAACAAACCACCGTACCCCGCCCTACCCAACCCAATCCAACCCAAAACCCAACTCAACCCGACCGACCGACCGACCACCAACCGATCGACCAAACCCACCCTACCCAACCCCACCCCCGATCGGTCCAACCCTCACCCTACGCTACCGTACCCTACCCAACCCAACCCAAAATCCAAACCCCACCCCCAACCCAACCAACCAACCGACCGACCTTACCAATGGCTGCGGTCATCGCGAGGTATCGGACCAAGGTGTAAAAGATATTGGTCGCACATTCATTGTAGAATCGTGTTCCAGCACTTCTATGACTGAAGAGCCCCCAACATTCGTCACAAACACGCGAAACCATAGCAAGGCGAGCATGCTATAGTTCATTTCGGTTGGTCACAACGGTGTCGCTGATCGATAATTCGGGTGGCTCGGTTCTTTGTGGTTGGAGCTCAAAGCGGGTGGCTCATGGCGGAGCGTGGATGGGTAGGAAACGTGTTGAAAACGTAATGCAAAAGTATTGGAAAGTATTGTATTCATCGGGGGCGTGCCAGTGCTCGTCAAACCTTCACGGTATCTGGGCACGCCTTCACTCTTTGTCACTCAACGAATCTCTCTGAATCTCCACCAAATACCTCTCGCTTCCAAGGAATATATGTAGAAAGTTCCTATCCCTCCGCATCTCATCACTGTTACTTTCGTACGTACG